ATTGTGTATAGATACCACATTTTCTTAATCCATTCGTCAGTGGTGGAAGATGCCAGGTTAGCCAGACTCAGAAGACCAAAAATCGTATGTTCTCCCTCATATGCGGACTTTAGATCTAGGGCAAATGCAGCAATGTTGTTGGACTCGGATCACAAGAAAAGGGGAGAGCACATACTGGAGATATAGGAATAGGTAGAAAACCCAAAACATGAAAGTGTCTGATGTCCCCACTCCAGAGGAACTAATACAGAAACCTTAAAATGACAGGTTATCACTAGCAGGGGATCAGGAACCAATGTAAAGATCAGTTAGAGATGAATCAACATGGGTTGTACCACGTGTACATGAAAGCAATGCTAGGAATCTTTCTGTATAGCTATCCTTAACTCAGCTAGCAAAAACACTTTGTCTTCCTTATTATGCTTATGTCTTTTCTTCAACGAAATCAGTCACAAGGGCAGAACGGGACCTGCCTGAAACTGAGGAGGGGAGGGGAGGAAGTGTGGGGGGGCAGGGTGGAGAAATGATCCAAACAATGTATGCACATATTTAAAAATTTTAAAAAAATAAAATAAAACAGAAGTAAAACCAAACGACAAACAACAATTCTACATGGACAAGAGGAAAAATGTCAAAAGGAAGGTGAAAATCAAATGACAAACATCCCTAATATGTAATTAAGTCTTAAAGATCAAAAAAGAATTTTAAAAGCTCTGTTGAAAAAAATGGGCAAGCTAGTATTGGCCCAGTGTCTGTGGTCCCAGCGAGACTGCAGTTTAAGGCCAGGCAAAAGCAGGATCCCTAGCCAAAAAACAAACTAAAAAGCAGAAGTGCTGAGGGTATGGCTCAAGAGGTAGAGCACCTGCCTAGAAAGTTCCATCCCTAGTACTGCAAACTATCTAAGCAGCCCTTAAGTGTGTGAAAATTTGCTCAATTCCACTCAAAATAAGAGACAGCAAATTAAAACTGGGCTGAGGTATCATTTCTCACTGTTTCACTGGCAGAGGTTCCAATGAGTACCTATACTCTGCTGGTGAGATTCTGAAGCAATAGGCATGCTCATAACTGCAAACGAGTGCAAGACAGGTCAGTGCTATGTCAGTGACTTTGGCAATGATCACCAAACCTTGATCTAGCGATCCCACTCACCTAACCTTGAAAATACATCTCCAACTCCACGAGAAACTGCAGGCATACAGTTACTAATTGTGAAATTATCTGAGCTAGCAAAACACTTGAAACACCCTAAATGCCCATCTGTAGGAGAATGACTGAATAAACTGTGACACACAGAATCCATGGGGCAGCATGCAGCTATAAAAAGTACAGAGGGAGATATCTGTGAGCTGACAAGGAGTGATTTATGAGATACTATTAAGGGGAAAAGGCAAGACACAATATAAAACAGTAATGGTAACTTTGTACGAGACAAAAAGATTATATATATGTATATACATAAACAAAAAAGAAATATGTAAAGATAAACTAGACACTAATGTGTTTGCTCCTCTGTAAAGGAAGGGGGAAATGGTTTGAATGGGTGTAAGACTTCTTCTCTATGCACACTTTATTATCTACCGGTAACTTTTGAAGCATGTTCAGGCTTTACATATTCAAAACAGTAACAAAGATGGGGGAAAGCTACAATGTAATACAAACAGAAAAAAATGAAAGTAACTATGTATCAGCTGATAACAAAATCACAAAGATAAAAATAATCCAAGGAGATACACAGTTCTCTGTATCTCCTCAATGGGATATATTTTAAGGACAAAAGATTGCGGTGATCTGTTGCTGGCAATGGTATCAGTGTAGTAACTATAAACACATGAGAACATGGATTGAAATCACTGGGAATGAGGGCTCTTCCCGTGGGATAAAGGAGACATCAAGATGCAATAGAGGAGAACAGAAAGAACCCTGATGAGTATAACTGCAAGTGGAGTTATTAGTATCAGCTTACAATTATACAAAACACACACTTCCTTCATCAATCCACTAAGCAAGCCTACTATGGGAGGTGGAGAGGAAAGAGGAGAGAGAGAGAGAGAGAAAGACAGAGAGACAGAGAGACAGAGAGACAGGGAAAGGGAGGAGGAGGAGAAGAGAAGGAGGGGAGGAGAGGAAGAGAAGAGAGAGGAGGGAGAAGGAGGAGAAGATAAGGAAGGAGAGGAGAAAACAAGAAGAGTAGAAGGAAGGGAGGGAGGGAGGAAGAGAGAGAGAGATTGAGAGAGAACAGGCAAATGAATAAAGGTTAACTGATAAGCCTAAGTGGGGTGTACATGGATGTTCACTGATGCTTTCTGGAGGGTTTGTAACAGTTCATAATAAAAGACCAAGAGATAAAACTGTCTCTACCATTGCCTCCAGTCCTACCTACCCTGTAGTTGTATTTCTCTGGACTTTTTCTAGCTCTGGTTCATCTTTTTTCAAAGCTGGTGGCCAACTTCCTATGGTAATTGTGGCGGAGAAACACCATCCCTCTAAGCCAGGGAGAGATGGTTTCAACTTTATTTGACATAGTCTTTGACAGGATCCTGTGAAACCCAATCGGGTTAGATTCTCCAGGAACCAGCTGCCATGGCCACTCCAGCTCTTGCCAATGATGGATTCAAAGCTCAGAGCCCTTCTATGTGGACTTTTGTTGCTATTTTTTGGTGCTGGGGATCAAACCTAGAGCCTCATTGCATGCTAGGCAGGCAATTTACCACTGAGCTACACCTCCAGCCCATACGTGAACATTTTTTAAATCATAAATTTCACAGATATTGGCCTGCTATCTTTCTGCCCACTTGTGTAAAAAAGATCATTCCATAGACCATCCCATTGATCAGATTCTTCATAGTCCAAAACAATTTAATGTCATTGATTCAGCCAACATTTTCTGAGCATCAGGCACTATTGTAGGACTGAAGATACAAGAGTGAAAATGGACAAATATTTCAGAAGCAAAGTAATTTATATTACTTTGGCAAGTGATAGCTGATAGAGAACAGCAAATAAACAAATAAAATACAGAGTATGTCAGTTGGCAAAACACACTATAGGAAAAAGTAGGCCAGGAGGAGAGGTTCTGGAGGCGTTGAGGGATGGGTTGCAATTTGCATATAAGGTAGCTAGGGAAGGTATCATTGAGGCCAATAGGAAAAGGGCAACAGGAACTAGAGAAAAGGTGAGATCAAAAGGAATTAACCTAGAAGGTAACACCCACGCACAGGAAATCAATGTGAGTCAACTCCCTGTATAGCTATCCTTATCTCAACCAACAAAAACCCTTGTTCCTTCCTATTATGGCTTATACTCTCTCTACAACAAAATTAGAAATAAGGACAAAATAGTTTCTGCTGGGTATTGGGGGGGGGAGGGAGGGGGCGGAGTGGGTGGTAAGGGAGGGGGTGGGGGCAGGGGGGAGAAATGAACCAAGCCTTGTATGCACATATGAATAATAAAAGAAAAAAAAAAAAAAAAAGAAAAGGTGACATTTAAACAAAGACTGGAAGAGATAAAAGGGCGAGCCACAATGATATCTCAAGGGAAAGATGTTCTAGGGAATGCAATTATTCTGTGGTGGGGCCCAGTGGCCTGAGTAACAGGAAGCTAGGGGGAGCTGGAGAGGAGGACAGGGCTGAGGAGCTGAGGTCTGGGGGCAATGATGTTATTGGGTGTTGCAGGTCATCTGTATGTTGGTCATCTTTAACCTTGACCAGAGTGAGACAGAGTGGGAGGGCTGTGAGCAGAGAAGCAATGTGGTCTAACCCACATTAAATCTCAGCTGAAGCAAAACCACTTCACAGTGCTTCCTCTTTCACAGAGTGTGCAAGTTTATCCTCAAACTGATCCCTGAAGTATCCTTTTTATTCCTTTACTTCTTCCCCTTTCCCAGCTAACTTAATATAGCCTCTACATAACAGTTAGAACCAGCAACAAGGAGCTGCTATGTTCCATCACAGGGTCAGAAAGGGTCTCTGTTCACATCCAAGTATTTGAAGGTGAGCTGCATCATGGGTGAGATTAGAGGATATGGATGAGGTGGAATCAATGTAAGCATTCAGAGGCAAGCAGGGTGTGTGTCATGCAGGGGGCGTAGTGGATACTCAGGGTAGAAAGACAATCCAATGGCTCCCTCAGCAAGGGCATAGAACCAGAACCAGGGGAACACCCATGTCTAATCACAGAGTTATTAAAATTACAGACATAGGAAAGGGGCCGGGACAGAGGCACACCACACTCTTGTCACAAAGGAATCTGTCAGAGGAGTCCTGGTTTCATCCACTTCCTGAAACCCCTCTCCCAGACATAAATTTTTCCACCAGTGGGCCACAAAGGCAATGGCCATACAAAGGAACAGTAGAGCTGGGGCTTCCTGAACCTTCCCATGGAGCCAGGTGGTCTTGTTTGGGGCAGGGATCTCCAAAGAGAGGAAGGACAAGATCTCATCTGAAGGGTGGACCAAAGAAGGGGCTTGGGACTGGGAGGCATTTCTGCCTCTGTGGTGCGGACCCACGGGAAGTTCCTGGTAGAAGGATAGAAGTGAACAAGTAAGACGAGAGAGATCATGGAAGACAGAGTTGGGAAGGAATACAGTTCTTCACTCCCCTCTCTGTGTGCTCTTGGGACTTTTAGACTCTGTTTCTGAGAGTTGTATTTTTAATGAATTTTTCGAGAAAGAGGTAAGGAGCTGGGAGACTACTGCCCTATCAATGGAGAACATCAGTACCAACACCACCAACTGGTTTTGTGATATGACAGGGGAGAAACAAACAATGCATAAATTAGAGCTTTCATATTGTCATAAACACCGGGTCATCAGGATTTAGTGAGAGGAGAGGAGGCCAAGATGTGACAAGGTTGTAATTGCAAGACAGGAAGTGACATTATTTTTCACAGTAAAATTTATAAAAAGAGGGGAAAGGAGAAAGATTAAGAGAAAAATGAAATGCAGTCTTTGACAGGCTGAGTTACAGATGAGCCCTTCAAATTAAACAATGTGGAGAACTTACGTGATATCAGCGTTAGGGTGAAGGCCGAAGACTTCAGGGTTATCTAGGGATGGCAGAGATTGGATGTACTCAAAATACTGGTCCAAGGTTTTGCAGACGGGGATTTTATATCCAGTATAAAAACAGAACGTAGGTTCGAACATCTTCTCACTGAACCAGACCTGTATGTGAGAAAAGAAATGAAAGACAATTGACCAGCACCTAAATGAAAACTGCCATTATTAGGAGGAAGGGTCGGCTTATTTCCACTTTAATAGGGTTTTTTAACATTGATTTTGAAAGCATCTTTAAAAAACCACAGAAAGAATAATTAGCACATACACGAAGAAAAGAGAGAGGTCACAAGACAGAACAATCTGTGAGGCCTCTGTTTAGCGCAGAGGAAAGTAGATGAGCAGGGCTGGGGATGTAGCTCACGGGGTGTTGGGGGCAGTGTTGTAAGCGCAGCCCTGCTAGAGTAATGTGGCAACTCTCAATTCCACTTCCTGCAGAGGAAGGGGCACACTGCAGGGTCTGCGAGGCACCCACGTGCACAGAAGGACCCCTGGGCATCTTCATCATCTCACACCTCTCCCATGCCAGGGGGCCGTGCATGTGTTGTTTTGCTCCAAAGACAAGGAGCACCTGAACACAGCCAGAAAAACTTCTTACAAACATCCCCCTTCCCACTTGGAGCCCGCAGGTTTCTTTGCTAATTAAGTTCTGCCCCTGTCCACCAGAAACAAATGCATTCAGCCACCTGGTTTGCTTCAAGACATCCTTTCCCCATTCCATATGGATTGATTGATTATCTGTAACAAAACAGTGAGAGAAAAAATATACACTTGGTGCGAACAGACTTATTTTGAAGAGGGGGAAAATGATGCTGAATACCCACAAGCCAGCGTGAGGCAATGACTTCGGTGTCTAACAGAGTGATTTTCCCAGTAGGGAGGGAAATAATGAGAAGATGACACAATGTCTGGGTTACTCAAACAACTGAGGTGGAAGAGATGGGACTGTGCCTTGCCCCAGTTAGTCCTTCTCTAGTTCCCCGTCATCCACTCCTTCTCCCCCTCCCCCCCAGCCTTCTTGCAGCTCTTTTTAGGTTTGGTGATTGCTTGGAAATACTGTGTGTCCTGGTTCTCTGTTGCTTTTTTTTTTTTTTAAACCTTAGTTCCATTCTATAAAACTCCTGTGCACAAGACATTGAGCTCAGAACCAGAACAAAATGCAAGGATGAGAGACGCACAGTCCTTTTGTTCAAGGAGCTTGTGACCCAGCAAAAGGGACAGGCCAATTAATGTATCAACCACAATACAAAGTGCATTAAGGTAAGAGCCAGAAGGAAATAAAAAGCAAAGTACTAAGCAGGCTTAGAGCAGGAAGAAAGAATGGCCAGGTGGATGTCAGGTAAGGCTTTATCAAGGGAGAGAAGAGGAGAATTTGGGATTGGGGAGGCCACAGAAGCAATAACTTTTCTATCAGAATAACTGATGGAAAAATGTGAGGCAGGTCACCAGAAGTAATGAAGTCTAGAGTAAACATAATATGGTTGTAAGAGACAGGACAGGAGAGGTGAGGTGGGGTCATGTTATGGATGACTGTGGATGGCAGGGTGATGACTAGTACTTAATTTAAGAAATGGGGAGCAGTGAAAAGTTATTAAAGAGACAGTGCTATGAACATAGTCATCATTTAGAAAGATGAGATTTTTAGTGATGTGGATGACTTAAATTACAGGAAGGCACCCTAGGGAGGTAAAAAGGCCTTGGATCTGCAGCACGCAGATAACAAATGACCACACTGTGTTCTGTGTTGCCAGATGACATGTATCTACACGGCAAAATGAAGCTTCTTCCTGTTTTTCCATTACTTTATGTATGTACATGCAAGCAGCTGGATTCAACACATACAGATCCCCATGTTTCACCAAACATGGAGGCTATTTTGGGGTAGAGTCAAAATACAGATGAAGTCTAAATGGAGTTACTTTGGGAGACTGCAGCAGTTGCTATAGTTTGGATCTGGAATGACCCAAACCTGTGGGACTTGGGGAAGGTAGTAGAACCTTTAAGAAGTGGAGCCTAGTGGGAGGTCTTCTGGTCATGGAGGGCACGCCCTTGAAGGGAATAGTGGGACCCCAGCCCCTTCCCTCTTCCTGTCTCTCATGTCCTGGCCATAAGATGGCAGATTTGCTCTACTGCACGCTCTATGCACCACAGGCCCAGAAGCAATGGGGCCAAGCAACTATGGACTGAAACCCCCAGGACTATGAACTGAAGCAACCTTTTTCTCTTTATAAGTTATTTTCTCAGGTAATTTTGTCACAGTAATGAAAGCTGACTAACACAGCAGCCATCCTTGAATAAGACATTGAAAAATTTTTACAGTGGCTAGTTTTAGAAGAGACTCTAAAAATAAAGAGAAAACAAACAAGTTCAAAGACAAGTCTCAAACTGGAAGTCATAGTGACTGAGGATGTGAACTGAAGGCACTGATTTACAATGGAACCACTTTACAGGCAGGCAGCTCGTATCACACTGCTGGGGAAAGTGGCTGTGGTGTGGTGGGGCAGTTGGGTAGATGGAAGAGCGAGGCTATGGATGAGCCAGAGTGGGAAGACAGGTCATGGATTCTGTGGGAGGCGGAGATTCTAAAGCCTACTCAGGAGGGCTTCTGCTGCCAGTTCTGTGTGGTGACCTTACAACCAGAGACCCAAACTCACCTCTCGCTGCTGAGGGGTCATCTGGAACAAGTCTGAGTGAGACAGAGGAATGAGTGCAGGGATTAGAGGCAGGAGATGCAGAGGGGGAATGGTAGAGAACAGACAGGTGGGAGTAAGGGAGCAGGGCTGGCTACGGCCAGAGAACTGCAGTCATTAAGGGTCTTGAGGGAAGGGAATGAAATGATCTGGGGGAAAACAATGAGGAGTACAAGGACAAGCCAATAATTGGCGAGGACAGAGGTGTAGACGACAGAAGGAAATGTACCTGGCAGGGCGTCACAGGGGACAGCCAGTGCACTGGAGAACCATGTGCTTCAGACCAGGCACTGAGTCACATTCCAAGTGGCCAAGGGATGCAGAATCTTGGGTCTCTGGGAGGAGGTTGATGTCTGACTGACTAGTTGTTGGTAGTTCCAAATGTCCATGGACAAAGAGGAGCAGGAGAGACAGTTGACTGGAGCCAGGGAAGGAACTTGCTGGCTTGAGATCCTGCAGGTGGTGCAAGCTGAACTAGCTGGCCACCAACCCTCAGAGGACAAATTACCATAGCAGCTCCCTGCTGTGCCCACAGCTAACTCTATTCTCAGGTGGACAGCAGAAGGCTTTGTAATACTCCACCTCCTTTGCCAGTCAACCAGTGTTCCAGCACCTTTGGGCAAGGCAGTTTCAATAAAACAAAGGACAATGTGAGATGGCTTATCAGAACTTTTCTTGAACTTGACTTTGCAGAAGAAGAGTCAAAACATGTTTTCAAAAAACTGATATATAAGTGTTAGAAAAAAACAAAAAACACCTCACTTTCAGGTGTGTTCTCATGTCAGTAAAAACCGTATCCAATTTACTATGTCTTAGGTGTCTACAGCCCTGGGCACAGAGAGTTCTCAGTATGTTGAGATTACAGGTCGCTTACTATCAACAAACATGCATGAGTGTGTTCCAAGTGATGGAGAGAGGGGCACAGAGACCCTGAAGACATGGCTCCTATGGAGGGGTATGCATTGTAGTGGGGAGGGCAGAAGACACTATTAGGATCACACATTCCCTCTCCATCTCTCCCAGACAACTATTAACATCTATGTTTCCCCTTCAAATATCCTAAACTTCTCCACATCCCTCAACCACGGACCCTACTTCTTTCTTCACTCTGAATATAGATACAGTGACAAGAAACTGGCCTAGTGTCCCCCACCCCCCAATTAGACCCAGTGTCCCTGTACCTATCCATGCTCTTCCCCTTCCTCAAGAATGGGCTGCCCTCCTTCCACCAGGACCGGATCAAGGGTACATGAGGACAGCATGCAAACCAATGGCACATATATCACTAAGTCAAAATCGGCAAGTCCAAATCATCACTGGTTATAAAAATTATCATAATGAGTAACAGCACCACTATAAAAATAAGATGGAGCCCAAAGAGCTTGCATAGAAATATGGAGGACGCATATCAGAATATTCAGAGTTAGAGTAGTGAGGAGGGCTGGGGGTGAAGAGTGCTTTTCTAGTGTGAGCTAGGCACTGGTTCGATCCCCAGAACCAGGAGAAAAAGCCTATGAGGAAATTTATTAAGCTATATGTTTATATTTCATACATTTTCTGTATTGTACAGGTTTATTTAAATGCTTTATATCTTTGAGATTTCTAGCAGACATCTCAAATGTCCCATGATCAAAACAGAATGGATTTCTAGCTCAGCCAATAAAACTCCTTCCTTCCACTTTTAACTCACCCCATTCTCTCTCCACTCAGTCAGGTCAGAACTAATCGTGATCCCTGATCCACCCCCACTCCTGTCACCCCCACACTTGATCCCAGCAACATGCAGCTCTCTAGAAAATAGATCCTGAAGATGGAAATGCTAATTACCTTGATTTTGTCAGAGCATATTGTATGTATGTATTGAAATAGCAAACTGTACCCCATGAATGTGTATAATTATTACATGTAATTAGGTAGGAAATAAAACTTTAAAATGCCAAATACACAAACATACACACATGCGCACGCACATACTCCAGGAGATGTGAAGTTAAGCTCTTCTCACTGGCTCCACTACTCAAACTCCAATTTTAGGTACTTCTACAGTTATTCTAACAAAGAGTAAGTACTAAGACATGTTTTCTACTTTGTACCTTAGATACAGAGGTGAGCTTCTACACAGTTGTTTATTATTTTCATAAATCAATACCCCTCTATTGTACTTTTGCCCCTTTGGCTCTGATAGCCATATGTGCTCTCCTTCCTCTGAGGGCATCTTTTAAAATGTACGTGATATATGTCCTTAAATATGTATTTCTTCTTGTGAAATACACATGCCTTGCTTTATAGCTCTCATTTTATTTTTTCCAACTGCACCGAACACTATTTCTAAGATCTAAGCAAGATGTCAGATGGATCGTTTCTTCTAAGTGCTGCATTGCGTACCACCACAGGCACCCAAAACATTTAATCTGCCTCTTTTCTTGGACAGATACAGAAGTTGTCTTCAGCTTCCCATTACTATAAGTGATGCTATGAATAGTATCTTTGTCCCTTCTGAAAATTTCTCGGACACATGCACTCAGGTGTAGGATTCTGGTCCAGAAGGTAGTCACATCACACAGCTCATATAGCTAAGTGCCTCCAGCTTGTGTGGCAGAAGAGTGAGGAATGGAATTCCGTTGTGCTCCACCAAGAGATTGCTCCCTGAGTACACTTGGGCTTTTGCAGTGGAGTTTGTGAGGCACCACCTGATCCTCTTTCAGGATCTAGGCACTCACTCCCACAGCTGTCAAGAACATTGGCACTATGGGCTCACAGTTTTGTCCCTCCCCAGGAACCACCCAGGCAGAAGGGACCTCAGCCAAGGTCATGCCCTGGGGTCTGTTTCCAGGGCAACCAACCCATGATGGGTGCCTTCAACTCCATAAACAGGTTGCCATGAAAATTTTTGTGTATACCCATTTGCAGACTTTTTCTTGACATGGTCTGAGCTATGTCTACCTGGGATAGTTGATTTCAGTGAGCATGTCCTGCTTTTGGGAGGTCTGTACCAATTTTAAACTCTGAGCACTAAGGCACTGCCTCTACACATCTTACCAGCACTTGTTATTTTCCACGTTTCTCCACATAAGACTTTGCAAAACTATATAAGGGTTAAAAGAAAAAAAACAGATTTCTGGTCAACCCCAGTTTACCAAACTACTCTAGTAGCTTGGGTGCTTAGTCCTTAAGGTTTTAATTTTGTTCAGCAAAAAGGTGGAAGAAAGGGAGGTACGGAAGGAGGGAGGAAGAAAGAAAATTACTGAACAGAAAAGTAGCAAAAGAGTTATCCTAATACAAAGAATTTAATCACTGTACTCTCCTATCTGATTTTTTCTCACTTAGGTAATGTATATTACTTTTTTGACATGTAAAAAGATCGATTTTCAATTGAAATGAAGAAAATGAGAAAACTTATCAAGATGAGTTCCCCCATCGCTTATTTTGGGGCTTGAAGGCGCTGTGAGTTTTGTACTCAAAGGAATAAAGGTTTTCTCCGTAGGTGAGGTACACGGGAATGGAGAATGGGGGCGGGGTACTGGGGAGCCCTGGGCATGCGCAGTTCACTTGTGCAGGGCAGGATTCATGGACTCTTGAGATCTGTTGTTATTTATTGTTGGGGGATGGAATGGTGGGGAGGGGGTTTCTAGGTTAATTCCTTTTTAGTAGCTCTGCTTTATACCTTTCCCCACTTAAGTTTGGCATACTCATTACAAACAAAAAGCATTCTTATTTAAAAGGAAAATGCAATGAAATGTGTCTCCAAGCATTTTTTGCTCTAAATTGACTTACTCTAGCAAAGCAATTGAGCAGACGTTTATCAAAGTCATCTGTCACTCGGCCTCCGTATTGTACTTCTCCAATCATGTACCGAACCGTACTCCACGACACACCCTTTATTAAAAACAAGGTTCATTTACTGTCAATCTGAACAAACATTTCAGATCTTTCTCTGTAGGAAAGGTCGGGAAAAGGGAGGCTAGCTGGACTGTGTTTAAAATTATTCATTATCTTCTATGAATGACTCTCACTGTTACATGGTTGGAGCTGCTACAGTCTGTTTACCAAAGAAAAATTGATAATACTGAACACTAGTGTTTGTTGCCCATCAGTTATGTAAAGTAGGGGAGAAGAGTATTTTTCACTCTGTGGTTGTAATCACTTAAAATACTCATTATAGTAATGCCAAGCTATTATAGAGGAAAAAAAGGGGGTGTTTAGTGAAGAAAAGAGGAAAATCAAGTAATCAATGTTTTAATGTATTTTCCCAACAATATATTTTCTGGAATCAGTTAGAAGAACAAATAGAAAAGTATTTGTTCACAAAACTTTTCTGCAGTGTAATCCGTTGGCATCTTAGTCTGTGAGCTAAAACTACATCAAAGGTTCATTAATTTCTATAGCAATCTTATACTAGGAATATATTTCAGATATTAATAGTTACATTATTAAAACACCCTCGATACATTTGGAGTAAGATACACGGATACTTGTCTAGTTTTTTTTTTTTTTTTGGTTAAAATTTTAGTTTTTAGTCTAGTTGCCTTTCAAAAGAGCACTTTCACGTTAGCTATTACTGTATATACCAACATGATAAATAACCACAGATTATGAACCCATACAATACAATTTTTCATCAAACTGACATACTTTTAATTTAATATCCCTTTGTCATTTCAGGGAAAAATGATGGTTTGGTTCTAGAGCTCCCCCCTGAACAAGTAAACATTCATCATGGCTCACCAACCCCATACCGATACTGCAGAGTCTATAATTCTCTTGAAGGCCTACTATGGGAAGGAGGAGAGGGACAGACTCAAAAGTGGATTTACTGAGCCCTTGTTATGTACCGTGCACAGTGCTTTCATAAGCACCTAACTCATTTGGTTCCTCACATAACCCATGGCCACTTGGAAACAGAAAACAGGATCTGAGACTCATTACTATACCAAAGGTTATGGGGAAACCAGACTTCCGACCCCGAGTTGGAATGTACAAATGAAAGGACAACTGGATTTGCATTCTCTGCTCTGTGACCTTGAGGAAGTCTCTGCCTCTCTTGTCTGGTCGTCATCAGTCAAATGGGCACAATAATAATACACTCTGTGCCTACCTCATAGACTATGAAGACAAAAGTAACATCCTACATATATGAGCACTCTGAAAACTGGAAAGCTCCACACAGTGACGATCAGGGAACATTATTAGAAATGACTGCCAGGGCTGGGTATGGCTCAGAGGTAGAGCACCTGCCTAGTATGTGCAAGGACCTGGGTTCAATCCCCAGCTCTGCCAAAAAAAAAAAAGAGGTGACTTAAGATGAAAAAGGACTTCATGAGCTGATAGATACATCTTCCCTTTTAAGGAGCCACGAGGCAGGTCAGAGAGACAAGCCTAACTGACCACACCCTTCCTCATGCAGTGTTCTTTCTATGGCAGTTGGGTGCAACAGGAGGAGGCAATGGTGGTTTTTGTTTTTGTTTTTGTTGTTTTAACACACTGAGTTTAATCGCTGTGCTGATAATCAGTTTCAGGGTGTGTGAATGGTTGTGTGTGAATGTGTTGGTGCAAAGGAGGAGGAGGAGAGAGAGACTGGGCCAGTACACAGCTGGTTAGAGAGACTAGTCCCTTTGAAAGGGGGAGACCTCAGCAAGTTCACTCCATGTGATGGGCAGCAATAAAAATAGAAAAAAACAATTTCACTCACCTTTTTAATATCACACTCATCAAGGTGATTCTGAATAAACTGAACACTGGCTGAAAAGTCAGCAGAATTGAATTCATAGGGAATATTCCATCCCAAGGGACCAAATTTTCGCCTCTCCTTAAAAACACCAAAGAAAAGTTAAGTATTGAGGGCTTCTTAAAACTGTACACAGATGATTACTTTTTGTTATTATTAAAATTAGCTATTGTAAAATTAAGGCCTAGTTATGAAGATATGTTGACACTGTCTTATACATACACATCATGTACAATTTTGGATATTTTTAACCCTTAGAAATATTATTTCATGACTCTGTAGCTAAATGATTTATGAAAACAAATCTGTGAACATTTGCCAAGTTGGAGTTCTTAGGTTACAAACAAAAAAAAGTCTATGTTCCATGGACAACTCAGAATAGTGCAGCAGGAGCTCAATAAATACCCCTTGGATTAGTTGTCATTCTAAATCAGACCATTGCAAGTTTGAAATGCTAAATGTGAGGGTCTGAGTTTCTTAAGTTGAATAACTCAAGCATTCAAGAGAATTTAGAACCCTTGCTGGTTTTACTTTGTAATTTTGCCATTTCAGATTTTGAAAACTAAGTAGTTCCACTTGCACATATAACATATCTGTCTTCCACACTAACTTCATTTGACTGTTTCTACTTAGCTGGAGGGCCTAAAATATTCCTATGACACGGTGGCTAACTGTTGAGAATTGTTAAATTACCCATGAATAACCAAACTGGACTCAGTTCAAATGATTCAATTGCTTTGATATTCTGGAGATACCATTTTTAAAGGCATGCTAAATGAATAACTGATACCTCCAGGCCCTGAGTGCTCAGCAAACCACACAGGTGTCTTCATGCAATCAGCTGTCCTGCCAGGCACATACCAGTCTCTAAGGAAGGTCCAGTGAGTTTTTTGGACTCCCAAAACTAGTGCCTATGTGGAGAGTAGAATGCTTATACATTTACAGGAAGATTGAACTCTACTTCTCTAAATATATACTAACTTTTCTTTCTCTCTTAACCTTCCCCAACCCAACCCAACACACACAAGACACACACACATGCGCGCGCGCACACACACACACACACACGTGCGCTGCTGCCTCCTCCATGACCATTCCATCCTTATTACTGCAGCTGTCCCAAGCCTGACACACAGAATAATGCCAATATTTAAAGTAATCTAGAGAGAGGGATTCCAGGATGGCGGCTAGAGGGAGGAAGCAGAAAGCGTGCTTCCTAAAGTAAAATCTTGGAGAGACACTGGAGATACACATTACAGGAAAAACCACCGAGAAGAGGCAAAACTTTGACTCCTCCACAGCCCCACCCCACGCACAGCATCCCAACTTCACGTTAAACGGAGAAACCAGGAGGGCTCCCATGCAGCCAGATGCCAGCGCCCAGACCGCTTGGGAAGGTGAGCTAAGCGGTACGCAGTACTCCCACAGACAGCCCTGGGCCAGATCAGCATAGCCCCCTAGACAGACTGACCTCCACCCGGGGAAAAAAGAAAAAAAAAAACTGAATAATAAGCAATAACAACAAAAAAGACACGTAGCAAAGAGAGCGGGGTGCCCTGAGTGCCAAAGGTGGGGGAGGGGCAATCCCTTATGGAACTGTAAATAAACAAGCCAGCCAGAGAAGGCAGGAGTGGTGGCACCAGCCCAGCAACTAGGAGCAGGAAAGCTTGTAAAAGTGGTGGTGGTAGGAAAACTCCACAGGAGAGGGGGGCAGACCCACTTCCCATGTGGACTGTAAATAAACAAGCCAGCCAGAGAAAGCAGGTGCAGTGTCACCTCCCCCAGTGTTCTCGGAAAGGGGAAAGCTTGTAGCAGTGGCAGTTCTTGCCCAGGATAACTCTAAGTAAACAAAGCCTGAGGTTCTTTGAAAAAATAAACAAGATCGATAGACCCCCTGGCAAACATGACTAAAATGAGGAGAGAAAAAACCCAAATTAGTAAAATCAGGAATGCAAAAGGGGAGATAACAACAAACACCAAGGAAGTCCAGGAAATCATCAGAGAGTACTTTGAGAACCTATATTCAAATAAATTTGAAAATCTTAAAGAAATGGACAGATTTCTAGATACATACGATCATCCAAAACTGAACCAAGAGTACATTAATCACCTGAATAGATCTATAACACAAAATGAAATTGAAGTAACAATCAAGAGTCTTCCTAAAAAGAAAAGTCCAGGACCTGATGGATTCTCTGCTGAATTCTATCAGACCTTTAAAGAACTGATACCAACCCTCCTTAAACTGTTCGATCACATGATAAAAGCAAGAGCACACAGGGAGGGGTGAGGATAGGTAAGACACCCAAAAAACTAGATAGCATTTGTTGCCCTCAACACAGAGAAACTAAAGCAGATACTTTAAAGCAACTGAGGCCAATAGGAGAAGGGGATCAGGAACTAGAGAAAAGGTTAGATCAAGAAGAATTAACCTAGAAGGTAACACCCACGCACAGGAAATCAATGTGAGTCAACTCCCTGTATAGCTATCCTTATCTCAACCAGCAAAACCCCTTGTTCCTTCCTATTATTGCTTATACTCTCTCTACAACAAAATTAGAGATAAGGGCAAAATAGTTTCTGCTGGGTATTGAGGGGGTGGGGGTGAGCGGGAGGGGGTGGAGTGGGTGGTAAGGGAGGGGGTGGGGGCAGGGGGGAGAAATGACCCAAACATTGTATGCACATAGGAATAAAATAAAAATTAAAAAAAAAAAAAGGAATCTAACTGGTTGTGGTAATCACACCTGTAATTCCAACTACTCAGGAGCAGAGGCAAAAGGATTGCCAGTTCAAGGCCAGGCTTGGCAAAGTGAGTGAAACCCAATCTCAAAAACAAAATACAAACAGAGGGGTTTGTGATAAGAACTACCCCTTGCCACCATTCTGCAGCCTGAGCCACAGCTGGTCTCATCCCTTGCAGAACAAAGCCCCACTGTCCCTTATCTCCTGCCACCTCTCTCTGCCCGTCCCTAGCCCTTGCTTTCTCCAAATGCTACTTAAGGCCAGACCCGCCAAGAGAAGCTGCTGCGCCATTTCTTCTCGGCCAGCCAGCCTGCTTAGTAAACTTTTGGACATGAGATACCTCTCGTGAGCACTGTGAAATGCCATCATCCTCCTTGTACAGAGAGACGGTGACAAGGATCAAAGAGTCTTGACCCTTCAGACTATCTGCTTCTCTTGATGGCTTCCTGGCCTCAGCATTTATGTTGCCTTGATTTGTTTCTCTAGCTGCTTCCTGTTGAAATATTTGGCCCTGTAACCAGATTTGGAAAAACAGGGCTTCTATTTTTGACTTGCTTGGGGAAAGAATCCTGAATGTCCAGACACTGGTCAATTACTATCAGAATGGAAGCAACTTCCCCATCCATACACACACACACCCCTTCTGGGAGGCCAACTTCAAGGCTGACCCAGGGTTTTGAATTTCTTGAGTCTGGATGTTTCAGAAACACTGATATGAACCTCTTCCAGGTTATTCTAGGAGCAAGAATGGGCTGAGATTGTATGGTATATTAACAGGAAAATATGTTTGGTTAGCCTTTCAGTCCCTGGAATTTCTTCCATCTTGAGGACTTTGAAGAGAAGAATGCTAACCACTTACTGAAATGCAAATGGTTGCCCATTTTTTAAAAAGAGAATCAAACTCTACAGTTAGTTTTACCTATGTGTTTGACTTAATTTTTAAAATTTAAGGTTCAATTAGACAGAGGACTGAGTGAGGAACAATTCTTGCTTCCCAATTACTCAAGCTACTTAAATTGGCTCTACGGAAACACTCCCATTTATATGCATTGAGCAACTGCAATTTAGCTGCTCCTTAAAATGTGATCTTTGAAAATTTCCCCAATGCTGAAATTTGCTTCACATTTATGTCACTTCCTATCAATTTTCATTTAAAGCATTAACTTTTAAAGTTGGTTCACTAAAGTCATAGACTGTCGCGCTTGTCTGAAGACAAAATTTTGGTAGGTGTCTTTCTCTTTTACAAATGAAGTAATTTTACTTTCTTACTATTTTTTGGTACCCACTGGTCTCTAAGTGACAAAAGAAAAAAGGAACACTGAATTATCAGGGTAAATTCAAACCACTGCAGCCTAAAAGCTTGTATGGAAGGTCAAAAGTAGGGGATTTTGCTAAACTTATTTGGAATATTGAGTCTCTTTAGTCCAATTAGTATTTTGGAAGCCATTAATGAGTCCTAGGAAGTATAACAGAAAAATATTAAAATACACATGTTTGCAAGGTGTTTTAATCTAGGTGAGAAAATAAGACTAGGAAACAAGAAAGGGGCAATGTGATAGTGACTATAATTAACAGTCAAATTTTAACAGATGATAAACCTGGAAAAAACATTCCTTCAGAGCCTTCTGGCTCAACATAAAACTGAGGCTGATGTTTGAGAAGAAGGAAGAGACTTCCAGGCCCAGCAAAGGCCACAACCAAAGACAGAAGCACAAAGTCTGTTCTGTCGAGAGGCAAGCTGCAGGTCCAAGACAGTCACGGCAAGCTTTGGCAGGCTGCAGAGTCTAAGGGATCACCTGCTTGAGAAGTGGAAAGGGAGACGAATTTGAACATAAAAATTCCACTTAGTCAAAATTATTGCAAACAGTTAAGCTAGAGTGTGATGATTTGAGGAAGACCAGGCTACTCCCTGCTTCAGTTACACAATCCAGTTCCTTCTTTTTATTCTAGGGAATAAACAAAACACACAACTAGAACACTTGGAAACATAGGAAACTCCTTAGATTCCTGATGAAATTTGCTCAGTGAAATCATCCTTTTAATGATGGCAAAGCTATTTCCAATTTTATGTACAATCCCACCTCAGCAGCAACTGCAGCTCAGTGCAGAGTAACTTCACTTGCACCTCAAAGTAAGACAGCTGCAGCTAAGTACCAGACTCTAATAATTGTGCTTACACAAAAAGAAAAATACAATCCATTCTAAACAACATAAAGAAAATTTGAATGGGTAAAAATAATTAACAAAAATAGAACCACTAGGAAACACTATAGGTCACACTGTAAAAGATAAACTTATCTCAGATCATTGTAATTATGCAAAAACATTTCAACTAAAAATTTTATAGTCACGCCTCCCCAAAGCAAGAACTTTACACACACTATTACATTTGAAAGGGGTGTTTGTCAAGGCTTGAACTTGATACAGAAACAAAATGTAAGGGAAGCAAAACACTTTCTGGGTAGAATTTCCTGGGCCCCGGTGATATCGCCATTTTTATTTAATATTTAAATTATTTTAAGAGCCATGATAAAACTTCCACATTTGCAACTGCCACTACAGGCCCTTTGAGACATTAAATCCAGAATTCCTTAGGGGCTCCCTAATGTGGGCCAGCAGCAAAGTAAGTTCAGCAAAACAACAACAGCAAAAACTCAAGAGTTCTGCAGAAGCTGTTAGCAACCAAAGTGGGCAAACCAAAGTGATGGGAAGAAAAATTGTAAACCATGAGAAGGATGTCAAAATGACTAAAGATTACTCCCTCAACTAGGCTCTCTGCTTGTGTGCCCATTATTGTCAACTCTTGTTGCATATTGGAGTCACTAGGGAAGTTCTTAAAAATACTGACCCCTCCCACCACTTGAGTGGCCTAGTCTGGGGCCCAGGGACTGGCTGAGAACCATTGCTTAAGATGCTCACTCCACCCAACGCACTGCTCATCAATAGGAAAAAGCCAGAGATTATTAGATTATTCTGACCTTCTTTCTGTAGGAGGTGTTGGGGAAATACTAAATATGTAATGATTGGGTTTCAGATGACCAAGACTTTGGAGGAAAAAGTGTCCCAAATTAAACTCCCAAAGGGCAAATGTGGACTTGTTCCCAACCTAAGAATGATGCTGTGTTCTCAGGAAATTGTACAGTGAATATTGAGGCAAGAGAGAAGTTCCCCTCATGGGTCATGTTGAAGAGGATGCTGAAATGTTCTCAGGGAGGCCTGTTGAAATGGAGCTTGGGGTCCTAGGAATGAAAGGCTCCCATGGGGAGACAGAAGGACCAGATGGCAAAGGCAGACTTCACTGGACTACAGTGAGAGTGGCTTCAGTTGTAGGAACATGCCACCCAGAGTGGCTGCTACTTGCCCAATAGAAGGCAAGTTCCTGGAGAAGACTGAGAGGGAAGGGGTGTGTATGTGTGTAGGTGCGTGTGCATGTGTGTGTGTGTGCGTGTATAATGTGCCAAGTTGTCTTGTACATCTATGCAAGTTCCCAGCCAGAGCATCCTCCTTCTTTGGGCAAAGCCTGCTCACACCTCAGTGAAAACAAACCACATCCTCCAACCACCCTGTCCCTCAGGAAAGGTGTCCTGACCAGCACTTCTCTTAGGAAAGGAATAGTGTTGCTTTTGTTCTCTGCATCAGTCACAGATGCAATTCACCATGTCCTTGAGCCATGTGAATTGGAAAAATAATGCCAAGTCACAATTCAGCAAGAGAAACTGCATTGGAGAGCAGGAAGGGGCTTGGCCAGTTTATGCACAGGTTTTGCATTTAATGTGGGATGGTTTCCAGTGTGCACCCCTCCCTAGCTCTGCAGACTCAGATCATTATTACGAACCAGCCCCTGCTCTTTTTTTCCTAGTCTCTGCAAGGACGAAGGTGTATATGGATATAGATAAGAATAGATACATCATGTTGGTGTGAATCAAGTTGACACCTGTGTGCTATGCTTTGGATAAGTATACCTCAAAGCCCATTTGTTGAAGGTATGATCCCCAACCCATTGCATTACTAGGGTGTGGTGGAACCTTTAAGAGGGTGAACCTAGAGGAAGATCTTCCAGTCACTGGGGGTGTTTCCTAGAAGGGGCTATTGTGATTCCACCCCTTTTCTCTTCCTCTCTTTGTTGTCCCAACCAAAAGATGAACAGATATGCTATGTGCTACTGCTCTGATGTGCTGCTCACCATTGGGGCCAACCAATCAAAGCTGATTGTAAGCTCTCAGGCATTTGTTACAGTGCAGAAAGGTGCCTAAAACACTGTGTTAATTTGGAGAACCCAAATAATGAACAAATCAGATATTTGGCTCTCTGTCCAACACTAGAGAGATAAAAGAAAAACAAGCCACATCCATCTCATCCACTGCATTCCTTCCTACAGCAGTTCTGGCTCAAGCTTTCCTGTGCACACCAAGCACCGGGCATCTCATTACCCTGTAGATGGTGACTTGGCAGGTTTGCAGAGGGGCCTGAGACTCATCTCCAAAGGCTCCTACATGATCCTGGTGCTGCAGGCCCAGGATAGCAAGCCCCTAAGGAATTCAAGTGCCTCTATCAAGCTGGCTGTAATCTATCCAAGTAAAAGAAAATATCTAGGCAATGCCATAGTGAACATCTCTGAAATCCATGAGATAGCAGAACAGGAAAAAAACCAGTGAGTTACCTGTACTCACTGCATAGTCACAGAACTGGATGACAGGATTTGAGAAATGGGAGAATCATGGAAGCTCCCCTACTTTTGCCTCTAACTGCACAGGCAGGGAAGCCGAGGCCCTAGGAGGGACATAACTACCAGCCTCACCCAGATAACTGATTTCAAAGCCAAGTCCAGGCCTCCAGACTGCCAGTAAAGCACTCTTTCTACCATACTACTATTTGATTTTAAAACACATTGAACATTCTTTTTCTCCAAAATACAGACACTCCACTATCAGCTGCCCAGTCCTAGCAGTGGAGAGATTGCTTCTGTTGTAACCTAAACATGTCTATTGTTCAGTGCAAGCACATTTACCCTCATGACTGAACCATGGTACTCTTTTTCTCTGCTTTGCATTTGAAAAATAGCCACTAAAAACACAGGTCACCACACTGACCATGTGGAAAATACCCCCAATCATCTCTCCATGATAAGTATGGCAGGAGCGTTGAATCATCATTATTGAGAACAGAAAAATAAGATATAGTATTTGTGAATTGGGGAATCAAATAACAGAGTTAAAGCAATATTTGTATTAGGATGTGATAAGGTCTAGCAAAGAGAACAATTCTCAGATGGGAGAATGAAGTAGGTTTCAGAGACTTGAAAATTGTAATTTAAAATCCAAAGGCAACATTGGAACTTAGTAAAAATAAAAAACAAAGCATGCAACCCAATGTTCACTCTCTCTGGACTGGGGACAGATAAATACCACAGCTCTCTTTGGTGGCAGTGTGGGACCTAGTAAGGTGGTGGGAACAATGAGTTAAGAGGGTAATTACGCCCAGCAGTTTTTAGAGTGAGCTTTGAATTTCCCTCAATCTTGGGAGAGATGAAGGGAATTCTGCACACCCCATGCAGAGTTGAGTGCATTGACTTTTGGGACATGGCAATGAGTTTGTTTTATCCTTCTTCCCTGACACAGAGGAGAGCTGTAGCCCAGGACTACAGGAGTCTCTCTTCCTCTCTCTGTGAAACCAAAGAATGAACCAAGGGCATGAAAGTTACACAGTTTTCCAATACAGAACAACATATAAAACTCAAATACAGAACAAGGCAATAATGAAAAAATTTCAATATTACAGATAAGTTGCCTGGTAACCATAAAATAATTAAATTACTACATAAGTAATGTGTAAGATCAAACAACCTGAGAGAGTCAGGGAACTGCTTTTAGCCCTCCTCCTCCCAGTGCGGCCATTACTTTGATTACTGTGTAATAACAACTAGGGAAACAAACAGTATACGTCAACCAGAGCCAGGCAGTCCCAGACCTACCACATAGAATGTGTACTTAACCTCTCTCCATCTCAATTGCCTCATTTTTAAGGTGGTGATAACCCTGTCCAAATGCGGTTGTTGCTATTACATGAGGTGATACATAAAATTCTTGGCTAATGCAGGCACTATAAAGACCAAGCTCTTCTCTTAATAACCTGTTTGTCAATTCTACAAATATTTGTTGAGCTCCATGTTATGTTCTGGATACAAATGACCCCCCGCTCCCCCTGCCAGGCTCATGTGTTGAATTGGTGCTATTTTGGGATATGGTGGAAACCCTAGGAGGTGAGGCCTGATTGGAGGAAGTAGGTGACTAGGACTGGGCCTTGGAGAATACCTTGTCACTGGCCCCTTCATCCTGCTCTCTGCTTCCTGGCCACCATGAGGCGAGCGCCTCTCCCATACACTCCTGGCACTGAAGATGTTTCTGCCTCACCTGAGGCCCAGAGCAGTGGTCAGTTCACCATTGACCGAAACCTCTGAATTTTGAGCCACAATAAATCTTTCCTCTATTAAACTGTTTCTCTCAAGTATTTGTCACAGTGATGAAAAACTGACTGAAACACTCTGAATGTGTCCCATGTTGTTATTATGTCAGCAGTAATAAAAGCACAGTCTCTGCCCTCTAGAATCTAAAATCCATAACAAACCCACACTGAGCCAGGTGTGGGGAAGGCTAGGCTGGACAGAGTGGCAGCAGACAGCTCGCTCCTGGAAAGTCCCGCCCCTACATGGGAGGACTGCTTTTTGCAGTTACCTGCACGGTGGAGTGTAAGAATGCTACTGTGTAAAGCATGGGCTTCCACATGGGCAAGTTACTGATGTCCAGAAGGTCTTGGTTAATTCCAGCAAATGTTCTTTTCAGACCTGCACGGACACCTTGGGGCGGCTCATTAGTGAATTTGAGAGAAGTCTGTCAGAAAAAGCAAACAGTTGTTTTGTCGCTATCAATTACTGTAAAGGATAAAATAGAAGCTATGATACATCAGGCCAACATGCTATGGCACATAAAATGTGGACTGAAACTCAGCACTGTGTAAACTAATCCCATTCACCAGAGCTAAACGCCAAAAAATAAATACCAACCCACAGAGCTCTCCTGTCTATAACCTTGACCATTACAGTCAAGATTTTGAGGCTAGGATTTTGCAGTATAGATGCTACTGGGCCAAAAGCTCTTCTATGTTTCCTTCCATGTGCCATCAACTGATATTAACGTGTCCATGAAAGGACACTTGTAGTGACAAACCTGTAGCAATGTAATTGGGAATCGGTCGTGAGGCTCCGTGGTTATCCATACTCGGAAAGACTCATCACTGGCTTCGGTGGTCAGCAAAGTCTCTAGTAATTCCTCCATGAACTCCAGGCCAAGGTGACAATTTTGCAGTAATACCCAGCCACCCTGTATCCAAAAAATGAGTCCACGTGTCATTTCTCATGACCTTCTCATAAAACGAACGCACTTTTTAAAATAGCTTTTGCTTAGAGCATGTGGTTGTTTTGTTCTGAATCCATCTTTTTAAAAGCACTGTATGTCAGTATGGTCATCTGCTACAGGTACAAGCAGGTGACTGGGACTCTACAGCACCCCATCACCCCTGGTTCAGGAAAGAACAGACACGAAAACTGCAGGGCATCTTCTATAAGCACATCTCATGGTGGGAATGGTAGCTTATGCTGTCCTCCTAAGGTGAGTCAGAAGTGACTCGCTCCAAAATCAAGACGACTGGTTCATAGTCATCAGCCATCCATGTGACACCGACAGATGCACTTCATCTCATGAGAGTCGTCACTTTTGGTGACACTTGCTACCAAAATGCTAAACCTTATTCCTTGTCATTGTTCTTCCTGCATGCTCCTGAAACTTATTCAGCACTATCTAAACAAGAACTTGATAAGACTGCCTTCAATGGTGTGTCACATAACTGTCACTGCCTATGAAAAAAAGATAGAAAGACTTATTTATTTATTTATTTTGAGGCAGGCTCTTGCTATGCAGCCCAGGTTAGCCTTGAACTCATTACATAGCCCAGAACTGGCCTTGAACTCAAGGTCCACCTGCCTAGGGTCTCTGAGTGTAGAATTATAGGTGCACACCTGCATACCCGCAGGTCAACATTTTGACACCCTTATATAACTAGATCAGATAAATATACCTTCAAAATAAATAAGTCTATGATCAGGTATATAGATATCAAGCCTTCAACTGTTAAGAGAAAATATGAAGTGGGCTGGCTTAAACAGCAAATGGAATGTGATGTACAACGGGGTGTACAGGGGAAGAGAAAATTCAAGATTAGCTTGTTTTGTTTTTTGGGTGGAACTGGGGTTTGAACTCAGGGCCTTGAGTTTGCTAGGCAGGCACTGCTTTGAGTCATGACTCCAGCCCAGGATTAGTTTTTTTCATCAGGGACCTGGTTGCTTTCTGGTCCCTCACTCAGCATTCCATAATGTCATCTCTACCCTAAATCTTGTGTGCCTCAAGGTGGCATCATGGCTTCACTTGCTCATTTTTTTCTCCGACAATGCTGTTATTATCAATACTTACCCCACGGCGAGAAACAGAATATGGAAGTTACAAAAACTAGCATTCCAGAGAAGGTTAACATGCATGCAGTGTATACATTAAAAAGTTTCCCACTCGTTGAAACTAAAGAAATTAGACCCAAAGTTGAACTGTCATGTCAGTCAATAGATGAAACATTTGATCCTAGCAGAAATAATTACATATAATTTCTGTGATATATATATAAATTAAATATAATTTATTATTAAATTAAGTGATGAAGATTAAGGCTTAGGGCACTCTAGAATTAATGACTGGCTTCAAATTTCCATGATCCAAGTAGAGTTTTAGCCCATTAACTCTCTCTCATCATTAATTCTCAGGAAAAAGCTGCACCACAGTTGCTTCAGACATGATGAGGTCAAAAGCTTAAAAACAAGCCTAGATCTTATTTTATTTTTATAAATGATGCAATTTCTTATTACAGCTGAGATGGCTATCTACATAGCACTTCGAGAAAATTAATGTCCTGGGTATTTATTGGGTGTGCTGGTAACTATTTCTCAAGATTCCACTCAGCTTGCAATTCTCCATAAAATCATTATCAATATTTAAACATAAAGTCCTCAGATATTTCTTATTTGCCTGAAACTATCCACTAATGAAAAATGAAATCCTGTCTTTAACTGAAAATTGAAATTTAACTGCCTCAATCCATCGCTCCTTAAGAACTATTCTATTAATATTGGTCATGAAATTCCACGTCCTTAGGAGTCAGGCGTGTCTTCCAAATGGTAAATAAATAAAGAAAGGAATAAATAAATAAATACAAGAACATATACAGTAGAAAATGGAACAAGCTTTCCATGGGGCTATGAAGTTTAAAATTCATAGGTAGTCAAAAGCTGACTGTACGAGCAAAGCAAGTACGGAGAATAAGAAGGCAGCACATGGGAAAGGCTGCTTCCCCTCACTGTGGTGATGGGCAGAGGCAGAAGAGCAACAGGAAAGGAGCCTGGGTGTGTACCTGCTGCATGGACATCTGAATCAGCTTCCGAGCATGCACTTCTTGTCCTTGCCCCATGGAGATGGTCCTACACTCTGCAACACACAAGAAAGTTCATGATGATAAGATGCAAGTTTTATAACAAGGCTGGGATGAAAAGAATCATTTCTGAATGGTCACAGCCTCCTTCCTTGTACTGCTTCTAAGAAGCAACCTTTGCTGTTCAAATAGGTCTTGCCTTTGGTTGTGCTGATCAGAGAAATGCTCTATGTGGAGCAGAGAACTAGAGACACATGGATTGTGCTTCCAAAGAGAGAGGGGAGAGAGAGAGAGAGACAGAGAGAGAGAGACAGAGAGAGAGAGACAGAGAGAGATCCGAAAACCCAGAAATAAACCTTGCTTGTATAGTCAATTGATATTCAGCCAGGGTTTCAAGACCATTTGGTGTGAGAAAGGACAGTATTTTCAACAAATGATATAAAAAGTGAAGTTGACCTTTACATTGTACCACATACAAAAATTAATGCAAAGCGAATCAGAGATATAAATGTAGACACTAAAACTATAAAAATCCTTAGAAGAAAATAGAGGAGTAAATCTGTGTGACCTTGGATTAGACAGTGGTGTTTCTAGATATAACACCCCAAACAAAAGCAACTAAAGAAAAAATAAGGTGTGTGGTCCACACCTGCAATCCCAGTTACTCAGGAGGCAGAGATCAGGAGATTCAAGGCTCAAGGCCAGCCTGGGCAAAAAGTTCATGAGAAACCATCTCAACCTTCTGGGGTGTGGTGGTGCACACCTCTCAGCTCAGTCAGGATCATGGTCCAGGCCAGATCCAAGATAAAACTGATTAAAGCAAAAAGGCTAGAGGTGTGGCTCAAGTGGTAGACTGTCTGCCTAGCAAGTGCAAGGCCTTGAGTTCAAATCCCAATATCACTAAAAAAAAAAATAGCTAAGATCCCATCTCAACAAATAAGCCAAGCATGGCACACTCCTGTAACTACAGCTATGTGAGAGGTATAAGTGTGAGGATCTCTCTCTGAGGCTCGTCCTGGGGCAAAAACATGAGACACTAGCTGACAAATAACTAAAGTAAAACAAAAAAACAAACATAGGCTGGGAGCACAGTTCAAGTGGTAGAGCATCTACCTGGCAAGCATGAGGCCCTAAGTTCAAGCCCCAATACTGCAAAGGAAAAATAAAAGGGACACCCTATAAAACAGGAAAAGATATTGCTAATCACATATCTGGTAAGGGTCTGGTATTCAATCTGCATAAGGCAACTCAACCATAAAGAGTCAAACAGCCCAATTTAAAATGGGCTAAGAAGACACAGAAATGACCCATAGGCCCATGCAAAGACTCAACATCAGTAGTCCTTAAGGGAGAAATGCATACCAAAACTGTAATGAGACACTGCTTCATTCGCACTGAGATAGCTATGAACTTAAAGAAGGAACAATAGCGAGTGTTAGCAAGAATGTGGAAATTTTAGAATCTTTCTATATTGCTGGTGGGAAGGTTAAATGGTGCAGCTGCTTCGGGGGAAAAAATAGGTCTGGTAGCTCTGTAAAAAGTCAAAGATGGCGTAACCACACGATCCAGTAAATCTACTGCTAAGGCTCTACACAGAGAGCTGAAAACATGTGCACATGTATCATTCACAGCATTGTTCACACGGGCCAAAGAGCAGAAACTATCCGAATGCCTATCAACTGATGAAACCACACCACATGTGAACTATGCAGACAACAGTCTGTTAATCCGCCACAGGAGGAATTAACTGTGCTGCATGTCACAACATGGATAAACCTTGAAAATGTTACACAACTTAAAGACAGACACAGAGGGCCACATATTGTAAGGCGACATTTTTCTCCTTCCTTTTCCTTTTTTCCTTTTGACCTTTTGTTTCTAATTAAGTAATATATATTCATAGTGAAAGTTTTGAGAAAGCTATACAGGAAAGTCTAAAAAAGAAAATGAAGAGCTTCAGTACTCCTCCCTGGAGATCTGCCTTCCAGCCCCTTTTAACAGGCATAAGCTGTAACCCCTTACCCTCATGTCAAAACTCAAGTTCTGAAACCGAACGCTTTGCTGCAAAAATCACTGTGGTGGCAAAAGCTGACCTGCACAGATGTGAGCCTATTTTTAGGCTTGATTTATCTCTATCTTCTTGAATATTTATACGATTATCTGCAGTGTATTATATAATACTCATGTTTTTGCCCAGTGCCAGAGCTCAATCCTCCCACCTATGCCTCCTGCATAGCTGGGATTACAAGTGCAAACCACCACACCTGGCCAGAGTATTACCTGTCTAAAAGCTGGAAAAGTCTGCTCTCTGAAACATATCTGACCCTAAGGGTTTTGAATAGGGGAATGTGGACATATCAATATTATATAATTATGATATATCTATACATAATTTGTATATTTGTTTATATATTTTATATCCACCTTTTAACAGTACATTGTGACTATCTTACTACCATTAAATATTACCAGAAAAAATTTTTCCATATACTGTACCTTGAACAAGTTCACCCCTTCAACTATATCTCCAATCCCCCTCTTCCTCTTCCCCCTTTTTCAAACAGTGTTTGGTGGGTTTCATTATTCTGTCTTCATATGGTATATAGGCAACACACTACCATCCTCTTGGAAAATAGTTTTTAATGACAGAAGTGTCCCATCATGATGACACATCCTTGTTCATTCAACTACTATCCTCAAATATTTAGGGCTTTTTCAATTTTATCAATGACACTAGATTAAACACAAACATTCATATGTATCTCTCAGTATGTTCTTAGGAGGGATTCATACATGTAGAATAGTTTGGACATAATATACGAATATTTTAACAATTCATGATATGCATAGAAAAGGGCTACCAGTGTCTTTCACCAACTGGGATGCTATAATTCCCAACCCACTCATATCTCTGTTGGTGTTTTCATTTTCCTCATGGTGCTTTTGACATACAGAAGTTTAAAACCTTCATTTAGTCATATTACCTATATTGTCTTTCTCATTTTGGACTCTGGTACAACGATCAGGGAAATGTTAGCCACTCAGTAGCATCTAACTAATTCAATGTATTCTTTTTCTTCTTTTATAGCTTAATCTAAAGGATTTAATATCATAATCAACCTACAGTTCACTCTGGAGCTTAATGTGAGGTAAAACCCTAAGTTTTTTCTAAAGCTACCCTACAGTCATAACGCTGTTTTGGGCTAATCCTTTTCCTTCATTGACTGGAAATGTGAATCCTTTTAAAAAACATTTTTATTAGCATATACCTGTTGTAGAGGGGATTCATTGTGACAATTCCATATATGCTTACAATGCACCTTGGTCAGGTTCACCCCCACCATCACTCTCCCTCTCCCCCTTCCCCCTACTTAAAACAATTTCAATGTTCTATTTCATGTAAGTATATAAAGTTCATCAACCATATTCACCCTCCTTGGAAATGTGAATCTTATCATACACTAAGATATTATATATATATATATATATATATATATATATACACACACATATATATGTATACATATATATATATAGTAGAGTCTAATTTGGGGTCTGTCATCTTGCTCCATTGATTTATTTATCAATTCTTAGTCAGTTACCTGCTGGTTAAATTACTGCCATGTGATAAAGTTTTTAAATCCATTTGGACTGGTTCCCCATTATTCCATTTTCTTTTTAAACCTTCTTGGCCATTCCTGTCCATCTATAGTTCTAGATAAGCTAAGATCTCCCTACTATTCAATTAGGGGGAAAATGGTCTTTGAGTTTAAATCAGATTTCTATTCAATTTATAGATTAATCTAAAGAATACTGTCATCTTTTCAATGTTGAATCTTTATGATGGGAATCTTGTTTAACTTCATTTGTTTGAAGTAATGTTTGTGTCACTAAGAAATTTTTGTAGTTTTCTTCAAATAGGTATTTTTCAGATTGCTTCCCAGATTTCTTTTTATTGCTATAGTTAAGGGGATTTTTATATTTTATTTTACAAGAAAGAACCATTGATTTTTTAAAAATATATTTGTTTTGTGACCAGTCACCTTAGTGAACTATTTAATAGGTTTTAGTTGATTCATGTGTATTTTTTAGTTAGAAAATTCCACTGTCTGAGAGTAATGATGGTTTTTGTTCCTCCTTCCCAGTAGTTGTATCTTTTATTTATGATTGTTATAATGCATTAACTATATCTCCCACAAGAATGCTAAATAACCATGGTGACAGCAGACATCTTTATCTTATGCTGACTTTATTGGATATGTCTCCAGTCATTCACCAGTTGAGTATGGTATGTTGCTCTTATACTGCATGTTTCTTATCCTATTAATAAAACATTCTTCTGTTCCTATCTTTGGAAAGTCAAATATGAATTCTGAACTTTTATGAAATGCTTTTTAAGCATCTATCAAGTAATAATGCAGTAGCTTAAGGAAAAGTCTTTCACTTAACACTCTAATGAGATGCGGTCAAGGGGGTGGAACCCAGGGCCTCTACTAGGTTAAGCGAGTGCCCCACCACTGGGCTTCATCCCCAGCCATGAACTGTCTCACCACCCCATCTTTCCTGTAGTCACACATACATCCCTCCTCAGTTAAACACATTATCATTTTTAAGGTTTTTACAGTTATACTGAAAAGTAGGACCAATCTGTGGTTTCCTTCCTTTTTGTGCAGTTACTGTCTTTGTCAGTGCTTGAAATCAGAATAATTAATGCTAGCAAAGAGGGCAATAGATCTTCTCTTTCTGTGTTCTAGGACAGAATATAGCATGTGAAAATCCTTGAACATTTTAAAGGACTTACTAAAGGTGGAGGTGGGAAGAAAAGAAAAAAAGAGACCATCCAAGCCTAGAGGCTTTGCTGAGTCAGTACCTTTAAAATGTCTAATTTTCTCACCTTGATTATTGATCTAAGGGTTTTCTTGCTTTTCTGAGAAAATTTTGCAAATTTGTATTTTTCTACAAGCTTGTCAATTTGAGTGAGATTTTCTAACTTGCTATGATAATTATACACCATCCTCTCATGATTTCATCAGTATGTGCTGTTACACTCATTGGTCATTCCTAATCTGTGGATTTGCAGATGTGTATTTATTTGTTTGTTCCCTTTCATTTGTGTTTGGATTCTTTTTTCAAACCCACCCCTCCTCTGGGAGCTCCTTCCTCACCAGGTTCCCAGCAGGGCTCTCTTGCTAAATCCACTTGCTCTTTCCCCCTTGCCCAGGTACTTTATGCACAATGGATCAGTTTGGAGTCTCTCACTGTAGAGCCCGACCAGAACAAGAGAAATCCACATTCAGAGGGTCCCCTCCTCTTTTCCTACAAAAACTTTGCTACTGTTCCACCCTCAAGTTACTGTCAGGTAACTGATTAATGCATCCAGTAAAAGCAGTGAGAAGGAATGAAAAGGAAAGGCCACTGAGACCAGTGAAGTGGAGTTCAGGAGCCCTGAGATGACCCCTGTGTCAGAACTGTCCCCAACTTGCTCTGGGCTTTTTTTGCTGACCTTGGTTTCCCTTGCCACCAAATAAGATAGTTGGATTGTCAGATTTCCAGGCTCATTCACCTTGAGTATTCTATGATTATTATCTCACCTTCCAAATAAAATATGGTTCCTGCGATAAACCTATCTTCATAGCAACAATTCATTTGTTGGCTCTGAAAAGAGCACCTGATCAAAGTTAAGCCAATGAGCTTCTTCCCTGGATATCTGGACTTGGGACAGAGAGAGTAAGGGTGTTCCCTGAGAGTGCTGGACACAAATAAGAATGTCGACATTGAAGCCAGCAAACCACCAGAGGCCATGAGCTCTGTGTTGAAAAGAACATCGTGGGCCAATAAAGAAAAAAGGCACTTTTCTTTGCAGAAGGGAGTAGGGCATAGAGGCAGCTGGGTAAAGACCCATGCAGGAGTAGATCCACCAGAGATTCTTAAAATATACGGCTTCATGTGGCCAGAGTATTACTACTCTAAACCCAGAGCAAAGCAGTCTGCATGAAAGATGGCTACTGAGCAACTTCTCCAGTAGAATCTGGAAGCTCTTTGCATTGGGTACCAGTGTTCAGACAGAAAAGAGCTACCATGAGAACACAGACTATATAGAACACAGACCAGTGTGCTAACATGGACAAAGCAAAGTCAAGATGAGGGAAGAGGGAGTCCACATAAACTGTGCCACCACAGTACATGTGGTTAGTATTTGAACCTGACTGTATCAACTTTATATCATGTGCATATTAACTATCCAGCAAATTCTATGTAAGTTTTATTTCATGGGGTAGGTGTAGTGATTTATAATCAACCACTTTTATAACCATTATAAAGACCTGAATGAATTAACTCCACAAGTACAGATGTAGAGATCTAAATCCAGAAAATCTCAAACAGTAATGCCAACAACATTTAGACTTTCAAAGTAGGAATAAAGGACAGACAGTCTGCCTTATGGGATGGCCCAATCCTAGAAGGATGGACTATGCATTCTTGTCGTTTAGTCCCACTGACTCAGTCTCAACTTATATGTTTATAACTCCATATTCTGCATCATCTCCCTGGAATAATTTTGTCTCACTTGGTAAAATTTTTTAATTTTTAAAACCTGTTATCTATTTTTTTCAAAAAATCTATAATGTGATTCTTTCCTAGGAAATTTGAGGAGCTGTGAGTCCTGTGATCAGCCATTTGTACAGACATCTGTTATAGCAGTTGTCACGTTGTCTTCAATTACACTTAAATGCCTGCCATCCCCAGCTGTGTTGTATCTGTCTCTGTTCTGTAATCTGGCATATGACCTGCACTAACTGGTTGTTGAATGAAAGCATGAATGAATGAATGGATCCCTATTTATTACAATAATGGTTATAGTTTTTCGATTTGTGACAAAATACAGTTTGAGGTATTTTATGTAGCGTGGCGCTAACATTAACTTTTGCTCCTATGTATTCATTCTTGCCAATCTGCTACCCACGCAGCATAAAAAAGAGAAACCTAAATATGGTGGACAACTTTTCTTCTCTTCACAAACATAACCTGTATCACAATCCTTACCCTAGGGGGTATGAAGGGATGAAAGAGGAAGAAGCTTAATATTTTTTTCTAACTCAATTGTGCAGAATATTTCTAAGAACCTATTATGAAATCATGAAAGGCAAAATTCAGAGCAAAAACATGGAGGTTTTGTTAAATTTCATAGACTGCTAATCATACCCAGCTTCAGTTTCTTGGCCAACGCATCAATTTGAATGGTGGGGTCAGATCCCATGGACAGAAAACAAATGAGAGGTGTTCGGGTATCGCTTTCTTCCCAAGTTTTTTCCAGATTTAAGATAACTGGCTCTGTGTACTTTTCCTCCAATGAATCTGCAATATACTTTCTTGCTTGGAAAACAGTACGATCTGGGCACCAAGACCTAGAAATGAATGCAAATTAGAGGAAATAAATTCAGGATATTCGTTTCTATCCTATATGATTCTGCACATGTAAAGAACAAATATTTAATCAGTAAAGGAACAACAAGCTAATTCTCCCTTATGGAAGTCTGTGTAAGAGGGATAGGGAGGTTTCCTAGCCTTAGATGAGCACAAATTTAACCATGTGGTTTTGGTGTCAGGCATGGGCAAGGAGTAGGGCCAAGTCAAAAAAGAGGGTGTCCTTGCCACAGACTCTGAAGCCTCATGTTCTTCAGAGGGAGAATCAATAAATCAAATAGGTCAAGAGTAAGGTAGTCAGCAAGCATTTATGTCATACATCTGTATATCACAATCATCTATACACACAGACACATTAAAAATGCCATTGGACATTTAATATTTTAGGTCTTGGACAAGCTCTACAGATTCTTATTTCATAGTAGATTACTCTATTCATTTAACATAGATCCAGTTTTAAGACAATAGGTAAAGGATAAGCAGTATGTTTCAATAAAACCAAGTAGACCTGCCATGCTCTGTAGACTATGAGGTCACCATCATTACCACGCTGAGCATTCTTAAAGGGTGATAATATCCAGGAGGCAACTTTTTCTAAGTGCAAGGTCAGGTGTATACACTAGGAAAGACAAGAACTGCTCCAAAATAACCCTACATCATTTGTTATTCCTCTAGTAGTCTCATCTTCCCATAATGCCATCATTCTGTCTCCTTCCCCGGTGACATGCACACTCACACTGATTTGCAAAGCTCAAAAATGCCTTGCAAATCTAGTAAGACAGTGAGGAAATGTTCTTCCTTAACATCCGTTTCAAACTTTGCTTTCATTTTAGTAGCCAGAATAACATTGATATATTTCAATTATGTGATATTCTTGGGGTTTTTCCTCAAATAAAATTGAATTTTAGCTTATAAACAAATCACCTTGTAACTTTATAAGTTCTATTTTTTTTAAAGAATTAAATTCAACAGCAATTGATTCACTCAACAGTAAATGAACAAAGTGAATAATAAAAACATTTTTCATGTTTTTGCTAAAAGCACTATCATTAATACACTGTCAAAATACACCTTTTCCTGTCACTTTCACAATGTATTTTGCTTGTCAAGGAATTGAAGATTGCCTTCTAAAACCTCAGTTTTTTTCCCTCCTCACCCTCCATTTCTGGAATAGTTTCAACATGCTTCATTTTTCCATTTTCATACATGAGCACATACTATTTCCACTACATTCACCCTCCTTATAATACCTATAGGGAAAGAGTGAGGTCAACTCATTAAGGGTAAGATCTGTAATTTAATGACATGATGAGTGACTCTTGATGAGTGAACTTTCAGGCCTGATAACACCTATTCTCACCTGATAAGCAAAAGCTTGTGACAGGTATCCAGAGAGTCGTTATACCCGTCAGGAATAATTTCCTCCTCTGGGGCATCTTTATCAAACCAGCTCTTCCACCCCTTCTCATTCCGGGATATCTGGGGAAACAAGCCAAGTGAGCAAGCGTAAGCCTACATGTGACTGGAGATTCTGAACAGCCTAAGACGGTCATTCTTCACAGGCGTGTCAGTGATAAAGCAAAACAAGACTGTATTTTTCTTCAGAGTCAATGACTCCAAGACCATGGATACAGCATACTATTCCCTTTCGGTTTTCCATTACTTGTCTACACTGTACACTAAAATTAGGGTCATGTATCAATGACACAAAATGGTTCATCAGGAAAAGCAAGGTTTCTCAACCTTGGTATTATTGACATTTGGGGATGGACAAATGTTGTGGGGAGAAAGGGGCTGACCTGGGCATCATAGGACCTTTAGCAGCATCTCTGGCCTCTACTACTCACTATATGTCAGTAGTATCCCTCCCTTCAAGTTGTAACAATCAAAAATGTCACCAGACATTGTTAAGTGTCCCCTGGGGTGGTACAAAATTACCTTCAGTTGAGAAACACTGATTATTGATCATTCCAAGCCTCTGAATTGAGGCTTGGTTGATCTCTATTTAAAAAGAGAAATAGATGACAAATTTAAAACTTACTTTTCCTAGTGACCCCTCACTGTGACAACTTAAAGCTGAGAATGGAGAATGGCAACAGTCTCTCCAAGAGCTGCTCTCAGATGTCTGTTCTTTGGGAAGCATGGAAAGGACCTCAGATTTTTAAAGGCATTAAAAAGTGCTCTCTGCAGCCCAAGTGCTGTCAAGATTAATTATAAAATCACAGATTGGTGAGCCTGTTGTGGCTCCTCAGCAACAATCAGGCTGAGTTCGTCAAACGGTGTTTGTCAGCACTTTTGAAAATTCCATGGTAAGCACTAACATGCAGCAGCAAGATTCATACCGTAGGTACTACGCACCAGACCTATGGATTGGCTTTTATTTCTATTATCCTTATTTTTGTATTGGGACATGGAGAGATTAAAAACTTCCCAGAGGCATTTATCATGTGAATAATTCATCATATAGGATATGGACAGGGTGCAAATCATTAATACAACTGTCACTTTGCAATTCTCTTGCTTCAACTTTGTCCCTAGGGCCCTAGGAGATGGAGGGGGGTTTCTGAAATGTTTCACAACTGCCATTCTTTTCCTGGTTATTTCAGTAGCTCTCCCTGGTTGATGCCATAATAAAGTCAGCCTACCTGCAGCTAACAGGACCCTACCACCTATATGCTGGAGCACTGCTGCCCACAGCGCCTCTACAGGCCTCACAAAGGCCCACAAGGAGGAGGCAGGAGAAGGCAAGTGAACATTCTCAGCCTACTGGCCTTCTACCTGCCAATTTTGCCTCAACCACAACAGAGTTTTTGTGATGAACTGCATCGGTGATGGGTAATGGGATGACATCCAGTCCCTTGCCATCACCAGATTTTCCTGTGCCTTTACTTGGCCCTCATCTATTGGCACAGACCATGTCCAGGTGTCACATTCCTTGGCCTGGGATGCCAAGGCCAGGGAAGCTACTGTATGATGTTATTTTTTTTTTCCTTTTTCTTTTATTATTCATATGTGCATACAAGGCTTGGTTCATTTCTCCCCTCTGCCCCCACCCCCTCCCTTACCACCCACTCCACCCCCTCCCGCTCCCCCCACTCAATACCCAGCAGAAACTATTTTGCCCTTATTTCTAATTTTGTTGTAGAGAGAGTATAAGCAATAATAGGAAGGAACAAGGGTTTTTGCTGGTTGAGATAAGGATAGCTATACAGGGAGTTGACTCACATTGATTTCCTGTGCGTGGGTGTTACCTTCTAGGTTAATTCTTTTTGATCTAACCTTTTCTCTAGTACCTGTTCCCCTTTTCCTATTGGCCTCAGTTGCTTTAAGGTATCTGCTTTAGTTTCTCTGTGTTAAGGGCAACAAATGCTAGCTAGTTTTTTAGGTGTCTTACCTATCCTCACCCCTCCCTTGTGTGCTCTCGCTTTTATCATGTGCTCAAAGTCCAATCCCCTTGTTGTGTTTGCCCTTGATCTAATGTCCACATATGAGGGAGAACATATGATTTTTGGTCTTTTGGGCCAGGCTAACCTCACTCAGAATGATGTTCTCCAATTCCATCCATTTACCAGCGAATGATAACATTTCGTTCTTCTTCATGGCTGCATAAAATTCCATTGTGTATAGATACCACATTTTCTTAATCCATTCGTCAGTGCTGGGGCATCTTGGCTGTTTCCATAACTTGGCTATTGTGAATAGTGCCGCAATAAACATGGGTGTGCAGGTGCCTCTGGAGTAACCTGTGTCACAGTCTTTTGAGTGGTATTGCTGGATCAAATGGTAGATCGATGTCTAGCTTTTTAAGTAGCCTCCAAATTTTTTTCCAGAGTGGTTGTACTAGTCTACATTCCCACCAACAGTGTAGGAGGGTTCCTTTTTCCCCGCATCCTCGCCAACACCTGTTGTTGGTGGTGTTGCTGATGATGGCTATTCTAACAGGGGTGAGGTGGAATCTTAGTGTGGTTTTAATTTGCATTTCCTTTATTGCTAGAGATGGTGAGCATGATGTTATTTTTGCTTCAGTTCCTGACACCCACTCAGCTGGGAGACTGATGGCCAGACAACCCACGACTACATGATGGCAGGTCCCCACTGAATTCCTACAGCCTTTCTGGGAATGGTTTCTTCTCCACTTCTGACCCATTGATGGTGTAAGAGAAGCAGGAGAGAATAACTCATGATGGCCTCGAATGAGATGAGGTCAAGCTACAGTTTTGCTACTTATTGGCTATGTGACCATGGGCAAGCACTTAATCTCTGAAGCTCAGTTCTCTCATCTATGGAGTAGGGTCAATAATACTTCCTTACAGGGTTACTGCAAAGAACCCATCTCAGAATAGGTGACAGCCACCAGAATCTGCACCGGGGTAGTTAGCATTAACTGAGAGAGGCATACAGTGATAAATATCCTTACATCAATATAACCATCAGTGGAGGGCACCAGTTCTGAGTGATTTTTCCAGAGGTATCTGAAGATGTCCTTTATCTGGTCTCTGACCAAACTAAGACCATTTTCCCCCCAAGAATTTGTTTAGGCTCAGGGACTGACTCATCAGTGGGGGCTTTGCCATAAAACAAAGCCTGCTATCCACTCAGAGATGGACGCCTGGACTGTACCCAGTTCACACTGTCCCAACCACAGCTGAATAGGAAGAGTCACAGCTAGATTAGTCACAGCTAGTATAGTACACTGTGGCCACAGCACAGGCTCTACCAACACGAAATCCAACATGGCCACCTTTGTCAGTCATCCTCACAGAGGAGATGACCACCAGCATTGGTCACTGGAAAGGTGAAGGTGCCATCAGTGACAGCCAGTTGAAACAGCAGACCCCAGAAATAAACAGCTATCTTTATTCTGCCTTGCATAACTGATTCCCAGTAACCAATTTACATTTTTCCAAACTTAAAAAAAACCACAACAGGTAAATCCATACCCCCTTTATTCTGTTTCCACCATGATGTTTCACCATTTTGTAGTTCCATCATTAAAATGACTGATTTTTTTTTAAAGTACTTCAACCTCTTAATTTTCCTTAAACTCAAATTTGTACATGGTAGAAGTAAAAAAAAGTAACATCAATAGTCTATGACAAAAGGGTCTACTCTCTAATTCTGTTTCTAACACCAGCTCAAGCAGGCAAATAAAAATGAGCCATGCCTGCCACACAGGAAGATAGTTCTCTGCACCCAGGAAAAGGTTACCCCTGAGATCTATCTGTCCAAACCTCCCCCCTGCCACAGCACCTTAAGTCCACACTCTTATTTTGTCTTTTGGTTTGTTTTTTGTTGTTATTGTTGTTGAGACAGGGTCTCACTACATAACCTACGACGGCCTTGAACTTGCAATCCTCCTGCCTCAGCTTCCTGAGTGCTAAGATCACAGGTGTGTACCACCATGCCCTGATAAATTCACACTCTTGTATTGATGCTTTGAGGGGAAGGAATTGTCACCAGGAAGCCCCAGTGAAAACAGCCTGGGTGCTTTGGGTTGACACATCTGTGCTTTTCAGCCCTTTGTTACCTGGTTCATAATTTCTGCAAACTGAGGAAGTTTACTCAGCTCGACGAGGTTCAGCCATGTCATGTCGAGGATCCAGCGAAAGGGCTTGGGAGGGCAGGCTTTCAGATCCAGAGCGGCACCCCCTGGGGACACATGTCAGACACATGGATCACGTCAGCTCACACTTAATTTTTAGAAATTTATTTTCCAAATAATAAAAGCACGATAACCACATTACATAAATATGGGAAAATTGGAAAATAATCATATTACAGAAAACGTAATTTTTTTTTGGGTACATTTCCTTCAAGTCTTAGTGTTTTATTTACTGATTTATACCATCTTATAAAACATGACTGCAATTCTTTGTCATTTTTCCCCACAGAGAATTTTTCTCAGGCAGGTTATGGTTGTTTGCCTTTTTATCTGTTTTAACAATCTGAAATTGAAAATTTTTATGTCAATGAACTGTTCATTTTTTTCATATGTGATTTTTATTATCAATTCTTAGTCAGAAGTTTGATATTCAATCCTATCTCTTATCAAGTTAGATGGTTGGGTAAATGGAAGAAAGAAGAAGGAAGAGAAAAGGGAGGGTGGGGTATCACATATCTGGGTTTTTTAGGGGGGAGTCAGGTCATTTATTCACTCACTTATTCACTAGATATTTACTGAGTACTCTTCATGCATCTGCATGATCCAGGCACTGGGGATACAGTGGAACAAAATGAGCAAGGTCCCTGCTCTCACAGAGGTTGTAGGCTAGTGACGAATGTGAGTTACTGCATGGCTCATCATTTGAAGGAAATCACAGTTCCAATGGGCAGACCCACGGTGGGCATTTTCCAATGAAATGTGTGATTACATTTTCATTTCAAAGTCCTTTACTAAAATGTTTTTAGTAATGATGTATCCTAACTCCAGCTCCATGGTTACTTAATTCAGATGTACACAAAACCAGTGATTCTTGAGCTTTTAAATCTAATAGACCTCCTTAAGATTTCACCAAATCCTTTCACTTCATGTATCAGCCCAAGGTGGTACCACAGGTCTTTGCTCTTCTATCTAGCATCTTCCTAAGAAGGTGAATGAACTGAAGTAGTTTTTCCTTGGAGACTTCTGTGTTCCAGTACTGAGGACTTGGGGGTTAGTGGTGCTGAGGGCCACAACATCTTCAAGACACAAGGAAAACCCTCCTCTCATGGCCCTGCCCCCTGCTCCCTTGCTCCAGCACCATTATTGCTAATTGTTAGGCGAAGCAACAACTGGAGAAAGCCACCTGCAGTCTTTCAGATGCTGCTTCTCTAACACAGAGCCAAACTTGTCCCTTTCCTGCTTGTTGTTTCCAAAGAAAAATTTCCATGTAACCATAAACTTTAAAGATTCCAGAAGACAGATAGCCTACCTTGGTGTTTTCAGATATATTGTACACATAAACGAACCCAGAATAATTATAGTCTATCCGATTCTTTCAAAATATCCTGGCCATGCTACCTACAGGCTGCATAAACCTGGACAAGGAACTCAATCTCTCTTGGGTTTCTCATCTGTCAAAAGGGTAGAATAGAATCTACCAGATTAGTTAGTGGCTGTGAGATTAAGTACGTGTGGAAAACTAGGATGGTGTTGGCCCATAGAAAGAGCCATGTGATCACCAGCAGTTATTGTGACATCAATTCACATGCTCCCCACCTTTGGAAGGGCCATATCCAGTCCCACTTAGAAGATACTCCAAGGTATCTTTTTATCCATGGCAAAAGAAATATCTTTCTAAAATAACCAAGCAGGGGAAACAGGGATATCAATTGCTCTATAATGCAGGATTGTCTCTAGTATTCCTTTCTCAATTCTGACATTCTCAGTTAAAGAAGAAAGTCACAGACACCTTACAAATATTGCTGAAAACAAGGAGTAGTTGACACATAAGGACTGCTACAATAAATAACTATTTTCCCCCTTAAGTATTGGGGTCACAATGATTTAAAAGACTACCACCTAAGAGCCACATTTTTTTTTAAATTAAAAACTGAGTCATGGTATCTTCTAAAAAAATAATTTAGTCAAAATTTAAGTCAAAACACTCTTTTACTGTGGAATGGATTGTACTTCTGTCGATCAACCTATCATATAATTCCAAATTAATCTTCCTAAAGCACTGCTATGGTTCCTGCCACATCCCTTCTCATAAAACACTCGATGGTTCACTATTGCCAACTACATTAAATCCAAACTCCTTTTTCTGGCTCTCCTGGCCCTGTACAATCTGGTTCTCTCCAACTCTGCAGTTTTCTGGTCACATATGTGCTCCCACCACAACCCAGGTGTGCGCTGTCTTTATTTTTCTATAACAAATTTAATCCTACTAAGGAATCCCCTCCCCTTGGTATTGCCATGTTTCTCAGTCTCTGCTGATTTATAAACCTTCTTTCAAAGAGGCCACTCCCTTTAGGTAAAAGCTCTTGTCTGGCTGGTTCTGCTCAGTGGGGAGAGGGGGGAACGGTGTCTTAGTAAGAGGATGCCTCAGATCTGCTCTCCCATTTCCAGGTGACTCTGTCACTGGCTGGGTCCCTAGGTCCTTTGAGCTGCAAAAGAATCCTATTCAATCTATAGGGACCCTAGGCTGCAATCCACAGCTCTCACTCCTGGCCCTGATGCACTGACTCTGGACCTGCAGCTTCATGTTGGAACCCAGGTCTTTGCTGTGTGCCAGCCCTCTCCACATTTCCAGGTTGCCACACTCCTGCTTGCCCAACCTCAGGTTCATCCACTGAGTGAGACACTCCCCTCCATCACAAAGCAATGCTGTCTCCACAGAGGATGTGGCAGCGGGGCAGGCAGGGGTAGCACCCATCTTGATATTTCTCCAGCTCCCACCTCAGAAGAAGAGGCAGGGAAGAGATGAGGATCTCTGCATATGACCTCCTCCTCTACCTCTGACTCTCCTTTCCTTCCCGCCATTCGCTGTGGACAGAGAAGCTAGGGTTCCCTCTTCTATGTCATAGCTCTCTCATTCCTAGGGCCATGTTGGTAGATGAAATTCTGGAAGTACAGCTCACTGATAAGACTCAAAAGCATATTTCCCTTCCACAGTGGCTTATTCCATTTAGACTGCTGTAACAAAACATTACACAATTGATGGCTTAAAAATAATAGAAATGTGTTTCTCACAGTTGTGCAGACCAGGAAGTCCAAAATCAAGACCCCTGTAAATCCAGTGTCTCGTTAGAAGGCCATTTCTTGGCTCACTGTGTCTTCACATGGTGAGTCATGTAATTTCTCAGTCACCCTCTTTTATAAAGTCACTAATTCCATTCCTAATCACCTCCTAAGATCCCACCTTGGAGGTCAGGATTTCAACATATGAATATAGAGGACATATACATTCAGACCATGGCTCACAGATGGATGGCTCTCCCAAGCTGTGAGGTCTTTTTGCTGCCACTGCTTCTTACAGTCCCATGTGCTTCAAAGCTCCTGACTCCTCTGTGGGGGTAGGGATGCAACTCCAAGTCCGAGTGAGAGATTGGCTATCTCAAGATCAGCAAGTCTGTGTCATTACCAGAGCTGTTCACCAGCATTAGATTTCCAGGTCTTCCAAAAACACAAGGGAATTGCATTTGGCTGCTCTCTGAAGTTAGATGTGGATATGTGTCCTGCTTTGGCTGAGAAAATATGAGAGTGAGTGACATGTGTCCTTGCAGAGTAACTTTTCAGAGCCAGCACACGCTGCCTCATCTCTCCACCATAAAGGTTCTGGAAACAATCTGGACTCCCGAGTGGCCATGATGAGCACGTTGGAGAGGAAGTGTGAATGAGAAGTACACCTTTGTTGCATTGAGTTATTGAAAATTGGGGATTGTTTTTATGGCAGCAAAATCTGGCCTGTTCTGACTGAAACTAGGTCTCCAAATAATATTCATTAACCCCTACTCCAACAGTCTCAGGACAGTTTCTCTTTCAACCAACCAGACTGAAATCTCTACAAAAACCGGAAGTCTCAGGTGCATTTCCGGCCCATCCTGGCTCTTTTATCCAGTCATTTGGCATTTTACCTCCAGGATCTCTCATGTCCTTTTCTTCCTCTATATTCACATTATCTTTCCTCTAGATTGGGGAAGCACTTCCTGTGGTTGGGAAGATTGAAGGAGACTCCCATAAAGCTCTCTTTTCTAATCCTACACATGTCTGCCAGATTCACCTTTTTTTTTTTTTTTTCAAGTACTGGGGTCTGAACTCAGGGCCTTGAACTTGGTAGGCAGATCCTCTACTACTTGAGCCATGCCTCCAGTACCAGATTCATCTTCTTAAAGGATGACACTGATCACATTACCACCTTCCATAAGGCCCTGTTTCTTACTAAATCCAGAAAGTCTCTTCCTATCAGAATCAAGGCTCTCCAAAATAAGTCACCCATTTATATGTATAGCCCTATTTTCCATTGTCCCTCCATAGCCACCTTGCATTTCCACAAAACTAGACTGTTGCCGTATATGATATTTAAACAGACTACTCATGTCATCTTCACGCTGATCTGTTTCAGCATGGAGTGCAGTCCTCATTTCTACCTCTCTTTCAGGGTCCATTTCAAATATCACTTCTTTTGGGGGGGGGCTGAAGGTCACCAGAAAAATTATTTGTCAAATAATATTTAAAGAGCAAGAGGAAAAAGAAAAAGATTGGAACATGTTATCATATATCAAGTAATTCCCAGACTCATGGCTCAACCTATAGAGGGGTATTTTTCCAGAAGCCCTTTTTGATTTCATAAACCACATGTAATCACTCCTTCTTTTTAGACTCAACTCTTTGTTTCTTAGCTTTGGAGTTATTTTTTAAAATTATCTCTAACCTCACTGTGAGGTTTTTTTTTTTTTTTTCTTTTTGAGACAAAGTCTTGCTGTATAGCCCAGGCTAGTCTGGACCTCACTATACAGCCCAGGCTGGCTTTGAACTCATAATCCCCCTTCCTCAATCTGGGATTACAGATGTAAATCACATGCCCTACTTGAGACTATTATTTATTTTAAAAGCATTGTCTGGTTTTTCTTTCTGTCCCCAACACTAGCATTTATGTGCTCAACAAATACTTTTGAAACCAAATTGAAATGGAAATACCATTCTTTTGTCCCCTTGATTACACTTTTTAGTATAGAGATAAGCAATGAACAAGATTAACTCCAAAGATGAAATACAAGTGTGCCTTTTTACAATCTTAAGCATCATGATGCTCTTGCTTAAGAAAGTTCATTGCCAGCCAGGCATGGTGGCACACACCTTAATCTCAGTACTCGGGAGGCTGAGGCTAGTTTAAGAGTAGCCTGAGTTACACAGCAAGACCCTGTCACAAAAGAAAAGGAAGGCAGGGAAGGGAAGGAAAGAGGAAAAGGAACGAAAGGAGGAGGAAGGGAGGGAGGGAGGGAGGGAAGGGGAAAGGAAGGGGAGGAAGGAGGGAGGGAAGGAAGGAGGGAGGGAAGGAGGGAGGGGAGGAAGGAGGGAGGGGAGGAAGGAGGGAGGGGAGGAAGGAGGGAGGAAGGAAGGGAAAGAAGGAAGGGAGGAGGGAAAGAAAGGAAGGGAGGAAGGAGGAAGGGAAGGAAGGAGGGAGGGAAGGAAAAGTGAGCTTATCACCAGCACAAGACTTTGGTAATTGGTTCTCTTAAGCATGGGCAACAATGAACAAACCAAATATAATTATATAACAAAAGATTATCTCAGGGTTACCACATACCTGAGTCTTAAGAAGTCAGAGAAACATTCGTGGAAATCAGAAAAATAGACATTATAAGAACACTGCCTTCACAAGGACACAATCTCCCTACCGTATCACAGAAATGGGTTCAGAGTATATCACGAGCATATCAAAAACATTATCCTCTACACATCCAGATTCCAAACTCTGTACCTTTAATGAGAGTGTGAAACTCTTTGTGCTTAACTGTCCCTCTCTGGAGATCAATCTTCAAGGTCATGAGGAGTACAAAGAGGAATTTGTGGTTCTCATACAGACCTCTGACTGAATATATAAAAACTTCATATGTCAGGTACTCGATAATATTTATAATTCTCTTCTGAGGTAATGGAGACTTCTCAGATCTGCAAGTCATGACAAAAATCAAAGAGGTAAAAGGCAGTTTCTGAACAAACAGAAACACCATCAAAGCTCTGAAGCTGCCCCTGGTGGGTCACTGCTGTGAAGGCAGTGAGGACTCACCTGGCCATGGACTGGTCAAATAACTTCAAGAACTGGGCCAGTGACGTCTGGTACATGATGTTGACCATGCTCATCTCTGTGATGAGGAAGTAGAGGATGCTTCCACGGGTGGCTGCTGGCCGGAACTCCTCCTGCGCCATGTTAATCTTGATCTCCGTTTCTGCAGCCACATGTAGCTTTTCACTAACTTCAGCTGCTGTCTGCTTGGTGATTCGCAGGACACCAATGAGAGACTCATCATCTACCAGGGAACCTAAAAGTCAAAACAGGAAAACTAAAGACACAGATGAAAGCAGGATGCATCACTTCTGAACTAATACTGCTAAGTTCCAATTTAATTTCCACAGGGTACTAGAAGCCTAAGACCTCAAAAGTTCACCTACTACCCAGTGCCTAAATCCCATATCCCACTCTGCCTAATATCTGTAGCAAAATGCAACAGATTCACTTGATAGCTCTTCAAATGTCTGGAGACAATGAGCATGGCTCCAGTGGTTTCAGATGCTCCCTATGTGACACACTTCCATCCCCACTGTCACCTTGGTGGTTGTCCCCAGTTTATCCAATCCACTTGTCTCAGCGTATGAGCTGATCCATATTCTATACACAGGCTGGAGAGCTGGCATTGAGTGGGAGACTCTTTCCTCTCACTGCCTGATTAAAATAATCCTTGCGAGAGATGACCCAGGTTGCTCTACAGGCACAGTGGAAGTGTCTCACCAGGAAGAGATCCCCCTTATTTCACTTTTAGTTTTCCTCTCATTATTGCTTGCAGCAATGAATTCATTTCAAGACACAGAAAGACACTTTGGATGTGCTGAGCCCATGGTTACCATGTCTGAAAACAGCAGCACTCCGGCTTAGCCTGGAGCTCTGGGAGGCAGGCGAGTACTACAGGAAGTGCTGAGTTACTCTGGCCAGCATGCAGTGTCTAATGTGGAAATTCAATCTGTGATTAACCTCACTGCAAAGATATCGTGACTTGGTACTGGACCAGGGAACAGCCCTTTGCTGTCCTTGCTGACTTTTAGAATGGGTGGGAGAAGTCACTGGGCCAAAAGACAGACGGATGACTTCACCAGCAGGAGCAGTGCAATTAATTAAGTTAAATGAAAAGACTTCACTAAGCATATTTTTTTGAGGGGGAGGGGTCACTGGGGACTCGAACCCAGGGCCTCACACATGCTAAGCAAGCACTCTACCAATGAGCTACATCCATAATCCCTTTTTAAATTTTTATTTTCAAACAGGGTTTTGCTGTGTAGCTCAGGCTGGCCTTGAACTCACAATCCTTCTGCCTCAGCCTCCCAAGTAGCTCGGGTTACAGGTGTGTACCACTGCATCTAGCCTTGAAGTCATTATAAAGGTACAGTTCTGAGAGGTTACGTTTTTCTTTTCTTTTAGTTCAGGGATTAAAGTGACAATAGGAAGAATTCATTGTTAGACTGCTAAAAAAATGGTGGCAATTAGTAGATCACTGTGATTTGCCTACAACAAAATACTATGGCATTTGTTGATTGCATTTTCTTTGAATAAAATTTTCTTTTCCTATGTTGCAGAGAGAATGGCTCCTCAAACTGGGGTGCAGTAGGATGATTTTGGCTGCCCAGAGGAAACCCTCTCCTGACTTCTAAATGGAAAGTCAAGTTGAGAAGAGCTGGGCCCTTGATAGCCAAGCTCTCTGGCAGGAATTACAAGTGTCATAACCCACTGTGGCAGACACATTTCAACGCCAAATGAAAACGTCAGTCTAAGAAAAAAAAACCGATTGAGCACATTAGTTTCCTTTGGGCAAGCAAATTAGCCTATTATGAGTTACCTGGCTCTATTGGGAGCCCTTGCTTTTCTCAGGAGAGAGCAATTATATCAAGAAAACTGTGTTATTCTCAGCTGCTTAGTCTCCAGTTGTTAATTCAAAAATCAGATTCTCCACAGTCCTTTAATGTCTAGATAGAAATCACCTTGCTTGTTTTTTGCATTAATAACTCAACTATCTCCTAACATCTGCAATCATGAGGGCACAGAAAAGAGTGCAAAAGAAATTCTTATTCAGGATCCTTTATTTTATTACTTCTTAATAGCACAATACCTTTTGTAGCACTTAATTTATACAGGAGGTTATCTTCAAGTTCCTTCATCTTCCGCTTATTAAAAGTAACATCCTCCAAAAGTTTAACCCTCTCAGACTCTAATTCCTATTATTAAGAAACAAAATGATAATAATTATAACATCAGAACTGTAATTATCAGTGATTATGGCAAATCCAACACACTGGTATTATCAATTTAAAAGATTTAAAACAAAGTGTCTTTCGAATGATGGTAGTAATTATCATCGTTAATCAAATTTATTTGTATTTTTGTTTCTCTGGATAATTGTTAAATCTATGCCCACAGGCATTGAGATTCCATAGCACTCACACTGGCTGCAGGAGACAACTCTGCTCACATAATTGTCCCCAGTTTCCCCCAGCTCTTTGGCCAGTTGTTTATTAATGGAATGTCCTTTTCTTGTGCCCCGTTCCTACTGCCTCGAATAAAGTTAGAAGTGCTAGCTTTATTTGCAGTAGGAAGTGCTAGAAACAAAGAGGCATTAATAACAAAAAAACAAGGGGCTACCAGGCTAAAAGTGAGCTCTTGGCTTGGGTCCTGCTTGATGTGGCAATTCATTTTCTATTGTATCTGCATCTCCTTCGATCAGAGGGGTTACAATGGGTGTTTGGGAGGAATTTTCCTACATAAATTATGGATTTGGGAAATCAGATTTTGAAAAAATTTCCAGTGTTCAGAAGCTTGCATGACCAGTACAATAAACTCTCATACACTATTTAACTGGATCCACCAAACAACCTTTGGCCTTACCACTGTCTCTGTAAATAACCTTTATTATTTTTAGCATCGGTGGTCCTCTTCTGCTGATGTCAAAACCTGTTACCCCAACCAGGACATTCACTCACATGGCAGTAGCCCGATATTCAGATCCATGAAATTTAACACTGACACAATTTTCTTAGTAAGTACAGAGTCTGAACTAAAATCATTTCACTAACATCCTTGGTAAAACTTTTTCTTGTCCTATACAGAATCATGTGTCACATTTGGAACTATGTTAAAAAGGGGAATTAAAACTACTTATTTAAAAACAGTTCTTAGAAAACCACTTTCAGAAGTCTTCCTAAGCCAAGTAGTCAATCAAAAGCCACAACACTAAAAATGATGTCAATCAAGAGGGAAAAAAGTCACATTACAGCATTCATTTTGTACATATGCTATGGTTTATATCACAGTCTAGCCATAGCTTATTTTCCTCCAGAGTTTGTGCATATAGTAGGCAGAAACTTTTCCTTATTTTTGTATTCTTGACAGCACCTATGCTGAGGCTTTGCAGCAAAGGGACTCACCCAATAAATAGTTGTTAAACTGAAATGTATTCAACTCTCTTTATTTTATACCTGGGGAAGCTGAGAACCCAGAAATATGAATAATAACCTCCCAATACAACACACACTACCTACTGGCAGAGACAGGCCTAACACCCTTGTCCAACTCCAAGACTGCCACTGCACTGGCAGAGCTATAGTATTTGCTAGGGTGATAAGGAGTATGACCGTATTTGCAGAGGAATAGCTAGTAAATTGTTTTCATTAAAATGATCACCAATGTGAGACAGTACAGGAATAAATAGACAAAATGAAATCACATTCGCTTCCTTTTCAGTATGATATGGCACAGTAGTCACTTGCTCAGTTTTACAGCATGACCTTAAAGCTTGTCTAAAAGGCCTGGCAGGGGGAAAATCCATGTGTTTATAGGGTAAGACCCATTCCCTCTGGTCTCCATTTATTTCTCTGTAAAAATGGTGATGTAAAGAACAGCAGGACTGTGAGGATGGCTACCTATTCTGTTCAGGGAATGTGGAAGAGCCACATTCCCTGTCTGGGTTACAAAAGCCCCAAACAACTCTCACAGCTGGGACTGTGTCCTTGTCACTCCACCAGACTGTCCTTCTTTCAAGGACCTGTCCCCCCAGGTGAGCTACTTCTGCTAACCAGGTAGGATTTCACTGCTCATTTTCCTCAGGAAGGACAATATCATTTCTCTTTTCCTTCTGGAATGTTTCTTCTTTGGGTTTGTGGCCCTCTATCTGTGTCTCTTCTGCCTGTCACCCTCTTCTGTCATTCTTTTTCTCACCTTCCTACTTTATGCCTCTCTGCTCTTACTATTTCTAACCTTGCCTTTTCCTTGAATATACTAAAATTAATTATATTTAAGCAAATACAAACTTTCTCACATTGTTATGCAAATATATTCAATATATGCAAATATCTCATGCATAAAACTTTTTTCTGAACATTATCTTAAAAATTAGTCTAATTTTGTATATGTCTCTTAAAATCTTCCACTCCTAAATTTTCCTTGTTTCATTAGAACCCTTGGTTATATTTAACTAATTTCCTTGCACTAGTGCAAATTTCATTTAATTAAAATAAAAGTATGGCTCCCTATATCATTAGATTATTAGACTGTGGTATGTGAAGCTACTGCAGGTAATACTCACTCGAGACAATTTCTTTTTCTCTTGCATCAGTGTTTCATTGAATTTTTTCAGGTGTCCCCGGGTCAATACATACATCTATAGATATGTGGGTCACTATGCCCAAAGATTTAAAGAAAGAGTATGAAGAATAGTGTGTGTGTGTGTGTGTTGAAGTGAATTTGTTGACAGAAACTGATACTACAAAAGGGTAAATATGATTTGCTTAACTTTTTTCTTTTCCATGTACTCAACAATGGCCCACGAAATTCTAAACATTTATCATCAGTAGGAGTTGTTTACCGTGAGGCGTGATTACCTGTTTCTCTGTTAGAATTACTCTCCTGAGTAACTGATTCTCAAGTCCTTTCATTGTAACAGTGAAATCAATGACCGATGTTTTAGCGTTGACCTCAGGGGTAAAGGCAGGGTTTGGTAACTTTGTAGTAATGTAAAGCTTAAATGTATCCATGATATCACATTCCTTATCACCGACTTTCACCTATATAAATTCAAGCGTAAAGTTAAACACTTCTTAGAGGACAGGACAAGTAATTTGGGTTCACTGCAGGAAAGACTATAACAAAGTTAGGGCTGGGGGACTTGAATGATCTTAAATAACAAAGCCTGTTCAGTTTAGAATAACTTAGATTTGTGATCTTGCCCGAAGATGTTTTTAGCCACGATATGAAGCAAAACAAATGAAAAATTCATCTAAAACAAATGTTGAATAAAGGAAACTTGGACAAATCTAAGACTTCACTTTAAATTTTCAGTAAGTTAGCTTGTAACCCCAACTTTGGAGGCAGAGATCAGGAGGGTCATAGGTGGAGGCCAGTCCCAGGCAAAAACATGAGGCTCTATTCAAAAAATAAAGCCAAAAGGAATGGGAGAATGGCTCAAGTGATAGAGTGCCTATCTAGCAAGTGCCCTGAGTTCAAACCCAGTACTGCCATATAAATAAATAAATAAAATTTTAGTAAGCAATTACTATCACTCTCATCAACTGTTTATGGTACAGGAGCTGCTAGCTCTTCCCCAGATAAGGACATTATTTCCTACTGTGGAACTTCGTTATGTTCACAGGAAGTAAGACTTCTTTTTGTATTCCAGTCCCATCTCAAGCATATTTGACAACAGAGTTAATATAATTTTCAAAGAAAAAAATGCCAACTTTTTTTTAACCCAAAAAGGTAACCTTTACCTGAAGCACTATTTGCAGTATATTGAAAAACAACTGATTTTTCCTATCTAAAACTCAGGTGGACTCTCACCCCTGTTAGAATATCCATCATTAGCAATACCACCAACAACAGGTGTTGGCGAGATGCGGGGAAAAAGGAACCCTCTTACACTGTTGGTGGGAATGTAAACTAGTACAACCACTCTGGAAAAATATTTGGAGGCTACTTAAAAAGTTAAACATTGATCTACCATTTGATCCAGCAATACCACTCCTGGGGAAATACCCAAAGGACTGTAACACAGGTTACTCTAGAGGCACCTGCACACCCATGTTTATTGCGGCACTATTCACAATAGCCAAGTTATGGAAACAGCCAAGATGCCCCACTACTGATGAATGGATCAAGAAAATGTGGTATCTATACACAATGGAATTTTATGCGGCCATGAAGAAGAACGAAATGTTATCATTCGCTGGTAAATGGATGGAATTGGAGAACATCATTCTGAGTGAGGTTAGCCCGGCCCAAAAGACCAAAAATCGTATGTTCTCCCTCATATGTGGACATTAGATCAAGGGCAAACACAACAATGGGATTGGACTTTGAGCACATGATAAAAGCAAGAGCACACAAGGGAGGGGTGAGGATAGGTAAGACACCTAAAAAACTAGCTAGCATTTGTTGCCTTTAACGCAGAGAAACTAAAGCAGATACCTTAAAAGCAACTGAGGCCAATAGGAAAAGGGGACCAGGAACTAGAGAAAAGGTTAGATCAAGAATTAACCTAGAAGGTAACACACACGTACAGGAAATTAATGTGAGTCAACTCCCTGTATAGCTATCCTTATCTCAACCAGCAAAAACCCTTGTTCCTTCCTATTATTGCTTATACTCTCTCTACAACAAAATTAGAAATAAGGGCAAAATAGTTTCTGCTGGGTATTGAGGGGGTGGGGGGAGAGGGAGGGGGTGTAGTGGGTGGTAAGGGAGGGGGTGGGGGCAGGGGGGAGAAATGACCCAAGTCTTGTATGCACGTAGGAATAATAAAACAAACAAACAAACAAAAAAACTCAGATGGCAATCATAGCATTTTAAAATGACTTAAATTCTTAATTAATCTTAATCCTGCAGGGGGTAGAAGCTTCACTAAGATCACGATCATATCCTCAGACATCTGCCTTCACACTCAGGTGAGAACCTAGGGGCTTCTAAGTGCCTTCAGGAATGGAGGTCCTATAACCTCCTTTGGCACGTTAAATAAGGCTCATGAAATAGGCCAGATACAAAAACAAATACTGTATATGCTCTCACTTCTTCATGGGAATCTAAAACTGCTGATCTCATAGAAGTGGAGAATCCATCCTGGGTTACCTGAAGATGGGGTGGAAAGGGGGAGGTATAAATCAAAGGGTACAAACTTTCATTTACAACATGAACAAATTCCCGATAGCTAAGGGACAACACAGGTGGTGATGCACTTATTAATTAATTCAATTGTGATAATCATTACACAGTACACAGGTATATCAAAACATCACATTGTATACTTTGAATGTGAATACAACCTCTATTTGTCAATTAAATATTTTTAAGTGCAGTTCTAAATGCTGGATGATTCCACAATAGAACTAATATTACTAAAATTTTGTTCTTAGCTCCCTTATCTCATAGAACATTGCTAATTCTTCAGAACGTTGACTGAGTTTTATTCATTTTCCCCCATAAACTCTTGCAAGCTTAAGTATATATTGGATGCTCCATTAACCTTTGTTGAATGAGTTTTTAAAAAGGCATAAAATTCATATTCTAAAGAAAATATTTCTAAATAAATCTATCTCTGCTTTACAAGAAAATTTGCACTCTCCTTATTCACTGGTATTCAGGAAATTAAGCAGTTCAGAGTGAAAGAATTCAATCAAAAATGTTGTCACTCATTAAGAAATAAAAGCAAAAAAAAAAAAAAACCCTAAAAGTAGAGAATGACTACAATTTAAAAAGAAACACTTACACTGAAAACAATCTATGGTAACATCAACAATGGGGAACAGTATACCATAGCTTCCAGCAAAGTCAATGAGTTTAGATTGAAAGTTGATAAAGAGAGAAACGAACAAATCGATATCAATAGACTTTATTAAAATGCTATTTTCTCCAGTGAAGAAAGTCAGACTGTCTTATAAAAATATGTATATGACTTACAAATCCAATTTTCTCAAGAGGTGCTAAAATATAGATATTTTTCCTGTGTAACAATAACATATTGTTAAGATCCAGAAGTGTATTTCCTTATCATCTTACTTAGTATCAACAAAATTACTTTTACTAAAATAAAGCTTGCCTCTGTATTTTTAATATACTATGAAAATAAAAACTATCAAAACATCATATAGTACCTCTAATATGTGCAATTTTTGTTTTTATGTATCAGTTAAATTTTTTAATTTTCAAAAACTCTTTTAGCAATTTTGAAATGTGCAATACATTGTGCCCCATAAATATATGCAATTATTATTTTTCAATTTAAATTAATTTAAAGAAAAACAAAGGAATATCCACTACTTTGAAACAGAATGAGAAATGAAATATAAATAAATCAAAGGAAACAATGACTATCAGTTTGGGAATATTTTTTCCAGTGTGTCCTATATAACACCTGAAAGCAGAAAAATTGCTTTCACTGCTGTGCTCAAAGAGGTAAGTAGATGTCACCATTGTTCTTTCTTTCTTTCTTTCTCTTTTATAAAAGCTCACCTTGAAAGTGGTGCCTGATTTGATGAAATTCTTCTCCAATACATTATCCAAGGCTGGATCCAACTCTTCCCGAATGTCCTCAATGAGAAGGGGTCGGCCCAAGGACAGGCTGTCCTCCAGGTGTGTACGGAAATATTTATGGTTCAGAGTTGTCACCTAAAAAATAAAGAGCTCATAAATGTTACAGGACTGTGCCCATCCCTTAGTGGAAATCAAGAGATTTGTTGGATAGGTAACTAGAATTTAAAGGTCAATATAAGAAGCCTTACTCATAAAAGTAAAAACCACAAGTAAAACTTAATTTCAAAACTTGGTGAGTCATGACTTTTGCTGAAGCCCTGGATATACAATGCAGACTCCTGATCCAAAGGGGAGACTGGAGTGGCACTCCTCAGATGGAATGTCAGAGCTCACTCTTGACAGAGAGAACAGAAGTTATCGATAATTGATCTTATTAAACTTACACGGCTATAGTCACTCAGGGGAAGCAAAGTAATGTGGATATTATGACACGTGCTTACCCTCTCAGGCCCACTCTGAAATGAATAAGTGATAAAAAATAAACATAGGAATGTCAGAAATGATAAACCGACACACCAAGGGTCCATCTGCACATTTTGTCTGTTAGTGGCACAGGGAAGAATATGGTATTTTTCAAAAAGTCACCCTAAGAGATTATAAATTCACTTTATCTATCCTTACATTTTTTTTAAAAATTAGAACTCTGAATGTCTGATGTGGTCCTCCATCCTTACATAAATAAATGTCTGATATTAATTAAAACAGACACATTGGGCTGGTGATCTTTGTATATGCCACCTGGCTTTAAACTCTTCCTTCTCCCATGGTTCCTCCTTCTGCTTAACCACGAGGGTTCCCAAAGGCATCTTAACTCTCTGCTTCCTTTTACTCAATCTTCTAAATTCAACTATAGCCTTTACACTGCTATAGGTATGGGCTGTAAGACTTAAGAAAGGTGCACTTTTGTCCTGTTTCAATTAAAAAAGGAAATAACATAAAATAGCCCTTAAATGAAGGAAATTGTTAACTTAGATTGACACATTTCTTTACACAAATTACATGTCATAAAGGCCTTACTTTGAGGTGATAAGGCAAATGAATACAAACAGCTTTGACCAGCTTATTAAACAAGATGAAATAATAAGATTTGCTTGTATCCTGTTCTATCTCCCAAGGCGTAAACTCAGCTTTTGTGATTTCTTTCCCAAAGAAAGAAATAATCATTTTCCAATTGTCAGTTTACTTAGGATTATTTTTTAACCACCTTCAACATCTTTATAAACCTGAAATAATATCTCAGAGTTACAATTTCACGCTTAATTCACTTGATTTTTCTTGTATAAAAGCACTATGTGATAGTCACCCCGAGAGCCTGCATCATCCACCCAAGTCTTTATAAGGTGGTCAGGGAATTCCTGATGGGGGATAGGATGAAGTTCTCTTTCCAGAAGTTAGAACTGCAGGCTCTGGAGATGGCACCAGCGATGGCATTGAAGGTGGCCTTGGCAAAGCTGCCATTAGAGGATACATCTCACATGCTTTGTTTTTTATTGTGAGTCTTTGGGCATGTGTTTCCCCACATACTCAGACAATAATGTTTCTGAAGAAGGAGAATCCAGTTCCATCTGCTTACACCCCAGCAGAACGTAGGTTTTTAAATAAGGGATTGTCTGTTACTTCCATAAGAAGGTTTCAGAGACTGAGTTGCATCAGGAAGGACATTACTGAAGTGAATTTAACGTTGAATTGGAGAGATAAAACTAGATTAGGAAGAAGAATGGCATACACAGCCAAGCAACACTGGAGCAGCCTTTGAACTAAGGATGCCCAGGCAAAGTGTACAAGTAAGATAAGCAGGAGATTGGCAACCAGGTGAGTCAAGGGAATGGAGTCAGAAACCAAGTTCAGGGACAGAAGTGTGTGTACTCCTTCTGGGAATGTGGCTACTAAGAAGCTTTGCAGAAATGGATGACACCATTTCTATCTTAGCTCTTCCCTCCATTCTAGAATTTCTCTGGGTTTTTGGTAAACACAGACTGATGTATTGTGTTCTGGAGTATTCATGAGATAGTTGTCTCAGTTGAGTTCCTGGACTCTAAACAGTGTCTGCTTACTTGAAAAGCCCTGATCTCAAAAGGAGATCTGTCAAAATTTCACCATTAAATTTGATGTTTGTTGTAGACTGTTTGTGAAAGTACTTTGTCTAATAGTGGAAGTTCCTCTTAGTTTACTGGAAGTTTTATCACAAATGGTATTGGACTTACCAAGATGGCCCCATGATTTTCCTGGGCTTTTCTCTCTTCTATAAGGATGATACACTTTGATTAATTCATTCACATTCAATAAGTATCAGAATTCCTAGTCTACATAATAGCTGGGCAGAAAATGTAAAGATGGGTAAAACCATAAACCTAACTAGCAAGAAGTTTATAGCACAGCAGAAATAAAGAGACAAATGTGCAAAGAAAATTCAAGACAGACTGCATAGAATACAACAGAAATACTAAAAAGACACGGTGAGGATTCAGGACAAGCTTAATATTAAGCTGGGGACACAGAAGTCTTGATAAAAGTAGTGTTGGATGTAGATTTTGAAGAATACTTGAGATTTCTGTATGAGTTATAAATGGCATGGCCAATAGGGTAGAGATAGAAATTCTGATTAGTGGAAATAGTATAACCAAAAATGTGGAGGCAGGAGGAGCTCTGGGAACAGGATCTAGGAAACAGTGAATAGTCCAATGGTCCATATTGCTAGCTAAATTGAAATAGAGATAGTAACAAGATCCCCAGGAGCCAGGAAAGTTGTAAATTGCCCTTGTCTACCCTCACTTTAAATTGAACACCGTATTAGATTCCAAGGTCAAAGCTGGACTCTGGTCTGCTAGATAGGGCCAAATGCCCCAGCTGGGTTGGCATGAGTGACCTTGGGCTGAGAGATTACTGTTTTTGCTGCTTTTCTATCAGCCCAAATTCAAGGTCCAGAACCAAAGCTACATCCAACATTGTCTAAAGCAATAGGGCCAGGGAAATGAACAGAGAGAGGGAGATGCAAACTTTAAGAGGTGGAACCTTGTAGAAGAAGTTCAGTTATAAGGGGAATGCCTTTAAAGGAGATATTGGAACCCGAATCCTTCCTCTTTCTCATTGCTCTTCCCAGTTGTTATAGATTGAATATGAAATGTTCTCCCCTCCACCAAGGCTCATGTGTTGAATGCTTAGTCTCCAAGTGGTGGCATTATTTTGGGAAGTGGTGAAAACTTTAGCAGGGGGCACCTAGCTGGAGGAAGTAGGTCACTGTATCTTGTTCCTGGCCACTTCACCCCTCCCCCACTCTGCTTCCTATCCATCATGAGGTAAAGAACCTCCCCTGCCACAGGCTCCTGCCACCATGATGTTCTGCCTATGCACATGAGACCAAGCAACTGTGGACTGAACCCTCTGAAACTGTGAACCAAAATAAGCCTTTCCTCTTTCCAGTTCTTTATGTCAGACATTTTGTCACAGTGATGCAAATGGAACTAATTTACCAGGTTTGAGGTGAACAGTTTGCCATGGACTGCCACCAGGATGTGCTGCCCTGCCACAGGCCCAAGAGCAACCAATCATGGACTGCAATCACCAAAACTGTGAGTCAAAATAAACCTCTGTTTTTTATAAGCTAACTATGTCAGGTATTTGTTTCACTATCAGAAAGCTAACACAGATGAAAACTTTATGCCTGGCAGATTCTGTTGAAATTTGGGGAAAGTTTTATGATTTCCCATACACCAAATGGCACATACCTGCAAATCATTTTCTTTTTCCTTTGATTTAATCCAAGTTTTGCCTTGAGTTTGTGGATCTATGAGGAGTGGGTATCTGGTGGCCTTTGTCACAATAATGCCATTCTGAATTGAGAGGTCATCTCCTGGTAGTCCCTGCAGCCCCCACTCACCAATCTGAACAACAGGAATGCTTTCATTAGAATTTAAAGCTCCTTAATGCAAAAGATTTTTCAAATTTGGATGTGTTGTTTTTTTCCGTTGAGACTATGCAAGTGCTATCTAGAAAAACAGACTTGTAAATGTGAACCAGATAACATTAACAAACACATTTATAATCTAATGAATCCTTTCGTTACTGATCCAAGACTAGGTTTATCCTTTTATGTGTATTTTTATACGTAGTGGAAGCATTGTAAATTTGTCGCCTAGTGCACCTGAGCAGGAATTAGAGCAGATCATGAATGTAATGAGATGTAGAGGAGAAGGTAAACCCCAGGGGACACTTCTCCTTCCTGAACTTTGGTTCTGCCCATGTGTGTGGGTGACTGTACAGCGGAGAGGAATTAGTGGGATGAAATACACTGGAATTCATCAGTGATACTTTTGTGACTATCTCCTCTGAATTTAGAGAAGATTGCCAGCCTCCCTCCACACACTCCATAAAATTAGCAGAGATCCAGTGAACCTCCATTATCCCAGGCCTTCTGGGGACCACAATTAATAAGGAATATACTTGCTTTGCCAATACCTGATGCGTTTCCAACACATCATCTATTCCCTATAAGGATGAGTTCAACACTGTTTGAAAAAGACTACTTTTTAACTTTTAAATACAGATAACATGAAATTAACAGCATTGCATCCCCTAAGGAAGCAGCAACTAGAGAGAGTATTTGCAAACCAGAAATGCAACTCATGAATACAAATTGCCTGGAAAGCATTTATTACCACAGGAGCTCTGCAAATTATGCTGGAAGTTGATAGTGGCATCTGACCCCAGCAAGGATATACTGTTACTTCAGCCATACTAGAACATGCTGTGGTGTTACACTACTGGACACTTAAAAAGGTGGTGAGTGTGAAAAAGAAGGTCAATGCCAGCACTTGGGGCCTAGATAGTGCCTACATTTGCTTAAAATATTTGAAAAAGAGTGTGACAATAGGAACGCCTTCCAAAAATAATGGAGAGTTATAAGAAGAGAAATCCTGTAACTGGCTAACAACCTTTTAGTTCATAGCAGTGCCATTAGTTTTAATTTTTATTCAACTTTATTTTTTTGTGCTACTGGGGAGTTGAACTCAAGGCCTCACACTTGCTAGGCAGGCACTCCACCACTTGGGCCACTCTGCTGGCCCTTTCTGTGTTGATTATTTTTGAGATAGGGTCTCCTTTATGCCTAGGCCAGCCTTGGACCACAATCCTCCTATTTGTGCTTCCCCGCTTAGCTGGGATAACAGGTGTGAACCACTGCATCCAGCCATTGGTTGAGATGGAATCTCATGAAGTTTTTGCTCATATGATCCTCCCAAATCTCCATCTTCCAAGACCCTAGGATTATAGGCTCGAGCCTCCACACTGGCCATTAGCTCTAATTTGAAAGCAAGATTTCTCAAAATGCAAAGGAAGTCCTGGGCCACAAAGTTCTTCCTAGGCATTTTCAAAGCACTCTTTTCAATTAAAGGAGAAAGGGAAGAATGATTTCTTTATAAGAAACAAAATGAGGCTAACTTACAAATATTAGGAGGAACGCAACACTTACAGTTGGAGGATCCACCAGCATCGCGATGAGATTCAGGTTTTCAGTGAAAGGAATTTTCCGCGCTCTCAACTCTAACTCCCATTGCTCTTTTAGCAAATAGTTCCGAAATATCTGGTTGAAAGGGCCGAGGTAGGAGAGGAAGCCTGTGCACAGCAGAATGTCACCTACCAGCCTGTTAAGGAAAGACACACAAGCCTGCTCCCCAAAGTGAGCCAGCCACCTTACACAGTTTAAACATTTCCATTACATAGCTGGAAGGGTCACAGAGTTTGTTTTGTACTAGGTAAATCCATCTTTGCCCCTGCCAGGTATGGAATAACCATGCAAAAAGGGCCCCAAACTCCAAAGGGATAAAAGGGCCCACATTTGGGGTGGGCCAAGGAGCCCCTCTGAGACTCCCTGAAGCCCACAGATGCAAGCCAGACTTTGCATGGAAATAACCTTCTTCCCATCCCACACTGTGGAAATGACCTTCTTTCCATCCTACGCCATGGAAATGACCTTCTTTCCATCCTGCACCACGGAAATGACCTTCTTCCCATCCCATGCCATAGCCATGCCCACAACCAAGCTTATGTTCAATTATTTTTCTCTCCTTTTTTTTTCCATTTTCTTTCTCCTTTCTCATTCCCCTCTCTTGCAGTTTTTCAAGGACCCCAGTAAACATAGCACAAGAAACCTCCACATTTAGAACAAACCATTATCCATCCATACTTTCCAAATCACCAAGGAGAGAAGAGAACTGAGCCAGTCTCCGACTGACCTGGCAAATCCAAACACCACCAGGTGTGCCCTCATACCAAAAACCCGGCCACCACTGAGGTGGGAAATGGTTCAAGAATTTCCTTCCCTCTCTACTGAGGGTGTGTGAGTCCAGCTGTGAGCACTTTCTTATGCTACAGGATGCAGAGATGGACAGATGGACATGAAGGGGACATGGCTTGTACACTCTCCAGTGAGGTGAAGACTCACTCCCTGAGGGTGATTCTAATGAACACCAAAGTTCATACCTGTTAATCTGAGCTTTGAACTCTTTACTCTGCTGGGTCCATCGGACTTTCTCCCCGCTCAGTCCATCGATGAGGGTAGAGGCAGCCTGCATCTTCTTACGACACATGTCGGCATCATTGAGCAGATCCTGCATCCATGAAGAGCTCTTTACAGTGAGTCACTGAACTTACCCAATATATTTGCACATAAAACTACACAGAGGACTTCCTTAACTTACAAAATAAATATAATCTATAAATAATAGAGTGACAGAACTTTACATATTAAGTTCTGATCATTCATTCATGATGCCATGATTCTGCCTTGCAAAATTTCAAGAAAAGCAAATTATAAATTAAAATAGTATTTCTAGTAAATATCTTCCAAACAATAGAGTAATGATAAATGTTTGAGTATATAAATATATATATACATATAAATATCAAAACATCACACAGTACCCCATATATATGAACAACTTCTATGTTTCTATGTCTGAGTTTTAAAAGGCCATGCATGGTAGTACACACTTCTAATCCCAGCTATGCAGGAGGTGAGACAGGAAGATCCAAGTTCAAGACCAGCCTGGGCAAAAGTTAGTAAGACACTATCTCAACAAACAAGCTGGGCATAGTGGTTCACATCTATAATCTCAACTACCGGGGAGGCAGAAGTAGGAGCAACATACTCCACATCTGGCCTAAGGCAAAGTGCAAGACCCTATGTGAAAAACAAACTAAAAAAAGACTGGGGGTGTGGCTCAAGTGCTTGCCTAGCAAGTGCAAGGCCCTCAGTTCAATCCTCATGACTGTCAAAACAAGCACATTTAATTTAAACTTTAAATTTTAAAATATTTTCAAGGAAATGTCAAATCAATAAAAATGCTATCTTAAACTCTCGTATCTAACAAAAATCTTAAAGTCCTTGCAAATTATAAGGCACTTCCTCCAAAAACATCCCACACAAAGGGTCATGTGCTGTAGCCAGCTTGAACTGTTCAATTTTCAGTATATTTGTGAGCTGGTGTTAAATACAGCCACTGTTAAAAATTAAATTAAGGGCTGGGGGGTGTGGTTCAAATGGTAGAGCATCTGCCTTGCAAGCACAAGGCACTAAGTTCAAACTTCAGTACTGCCAAAAAAAAGATTTTAAAAAATTAAATCATAAAACTTATAATTAGCCAGGCACTGGTGGCTTCCACCTAATTCTAGCTACTTGGGAGGCTGAAATGAGGAGGATCAAGGTTTAAGGCCAGCCAGGCAAGTAGTTCAAGAGACCCCATCTCCAAAATAACCAGAGCAAAATGGACTAGAGATGTGGTTCAAGTGATAGAGCACCTGTTTGCAAACACAAATCCCTGAGTTCAAACCCCAGTACCCCCCCAAAAAAAACCCTTTACAATTAAACAAAATCATATTAACAGCAAAGGTAAGAAACAATAAAAGCTAATTTCTAGTTACTTACATTTTTAATATTATCTATGCTCTTGAGTTATTCAAGTCCTTCATGGCGGCAGACATAGTACATAAAAGTATTTGCTGATCATTTTTTTTCCAAATCTGTACCAGTGATGTCACACTGGTAGTCTGACACAGATAGTGCTGGGATCAAGCAAACCAGGAAGTCAGCAAGTGCCGACTTGATTTGTTAATCAAGGCTCCTCCTCCTAGCGCTGCTCCTCCCTATTCCTCCCTGTCCCCAGAGCACAGCTTACAACCTGCCTCAAGAGGTCATGTTAGGACTCAATTTACAAATAAAGCTAGGTCAACTGGCCCAAACTACACGGTTAGAGAAGACCTGGGCTGGATCTCCACCCAGTTTTCTAACTCCAAGATCAGTATTCTTTATATGACACACAGCCTCCTGGCTATTAAAAACCCAAAAATAATTCTGAGTACCAAAGAGCCAAACGAGGTAGATTTCCACCATGAGCATTTGCCTAATTTTGCAGCGCCACACATGCTTGTGTGAACTAATTGTGTACGTTTGACCTCACCATTTTCTCATTCATTGCTGCGTCAAACTTGGCTTGTACTTTATCCAGCTCGGCTTGCTTCTCGTCCAGCAGGGCCTGCGCCTTGCCTAATTCAGCATTAGCGACCGCCAGGCGGCCTTCCTGCTTGGCCAGGTTTGCCTGAAACAGAAGAGGAGGTGGGTCACATAGAGCTGTAGCAGTGCCATGAAACATTCATGATTTTAATTGGTAAATGAGAGCATAAATTGCATGATATTTTTGCAGTGGATGGTGTATTGGAAATCATTTGTTTCAGTGTTCGCTGCTGGGGAAGCAGAAGGTCTTGGGGGAAATTTCATTAATTGTTCTTCCTTTTTAATTATTAATGTTCAATGTGGAAAACAGAAAAGGCAGCAATTTATAGGAAGTTGAACAAAAATGACCCCTGATGTTTCTCAGAGACCATCTGTCAGTACTGTGTTAAAACACTGATAAGTAGCACTTTAATATTTTTCATTTAAAGTAGTAAAATCATTTACCCACACCTTTAAACATTCTGTGAACATTACTGCTACTGGCTGCACGGGATGCCACTATTTGAATGCATAGGGATTCACTTAACTTCCCTTCCTACTTCAGACATTTTGCTCCTTCCATTTTTCATTCCTTTAAATAGTAATGTGATAAACACTATTGGATATACAATCATTTGGGATTGTTTCTTTTGTAAAGCTTCTTTGAAATAAACTTACCATATCATAAGTTTTCCATCTTATTCTAAGTCCTACAATGGTTTCTTGTAAATTTAAAATAATGAATCAATAACCTAGGTTGAGTTTTCTGGGGTACAAGTTCTGTGACAACTGTCTCATTTTCTTTCTAGATGTTTTATTTATTTGATTTTAGCCTTTTTCTTGAGAAAACTTTCTGTTCATTTAGATTGTCAAATGTATTTACATACAATTATATAAAATTTGGTTCTTTAATTATTTAAACCTACACATCTATGATTACATAGATTTATCTTTCTATGCTCATTTCTTTTTTGTGTATTTTCTTCTTGATTAAATTTTCCATCCTTAGAGTTGCTCGTTAATTCTAATTTTTAATATTGTTTTTATGAGCTGTGTTCTGCTGTCCTTATATTGTACATGTGTGTGTGTGCGTTTGTGTGTGTGTGTGCGTGTGTGCGCATGTGTGTATATGTGTGTGACTATGCACTTGAACTCTCATGTGGAACATTTAGCTTCTTTGATGCATTTAAGGGCTAAGAATGTATCTTCTCAGCCACATCCTAATAGCTTTGGTAACTAAGCTTGTTTCATCATTCCCTAAGTAGAAGTGACTGACTTTTCTTAAATGTAAACTTTCTAATTTTATTGCTAAGAATCAGAGAAGGAGGCTCCAGGGCTTTTTGCTTTGGGGAAATTAAATAAGGTCTTCTTGAATATGATCAATTTTTGTAAATGTTTCTTGGACACGAGACATAATTTCATATTACTTGTTTATACTGAAGAAAGTGTGAGGTAGCTTTCAGCCTTAAAATCATGTGAAATTTCTATACAGGTATTAATTTATGCCCACACAGCAGGTGGGGCATGGCTCAAGTGGTACTGCAAGTGGGAAGCGCTGAGTTCAAACCCAGTACCACCAAAAAGAAAAAAACAGCACATATGCATACTCAGGACTGGCTCCACAATTTTCATGCCCTAGTGCAAATGAAAATGTGGGACCCCTTCTTAAAAGATTATTAAGAATTTCAGGAAGGCAGCAGCAGAGTAGTAAACCAAGTCTGGACCCTGTGCACATAGGCCTGTGTGCACACCTGCGAAGCTGGGCCAACTGTGTCTACCAAATCTGTCAAGGACTGATAGTGTGTACCACAAGCTAAAGTGATAATATTCTTTTAATTTCCACTTAAGATACTCATGTATTATATTTTATGTAATCTGATAATATTTTATTTCTTTCATAAAGCATTATAATTAAGTCTTCACTATGGCTCAAAATTTTACCAATAAAAATAACTACTCCATGTGCCTTTTTGCTTTTCATTTTACATTAATGATAACATTCCCCCTTTGGTGTATTTCCTATATTCTCCCACCAATTTCCTTTGATAAAACTTTCGTACTTTTATTTTCTGTTTTTCTCGGTTACCTATGCAGAATTTAAAGAGGGAATCACCTCTTATTCTGAAAAACCGTGATACCCTGGCCACTTACCCAATTTTTTGTTTCACAGAGCAACCATTTAAACTCTTTTAGCTTTGTGAGGATACAGGGTTGAGTTAGGGTGCTGGGGGTACTGCATATCTGGGTGGTACATTTTATGAATCCTTGTACTACTATCTTTTGTTCCTTCATACATGAAGGACAGTCTGGTCAGGTATAGATGGGACATGTAGGCACACAAGTGTGTGTGCATGCGTGCACACTACCCAATACTTAAGAACGCCTGTTTCCTAGCACCAAAAGATCAGCTTTACCTATCACTGAATTTGTGGACCACAGCAATTTCCTTCTGAAAACTCCATTTTCTCACTATGTTCTAGTATTTAGGGTTGCAAGAAGTCTACCAACATCCTGATTTCGCTTCTTTTGTAAGCAACCTTTTGGGTTTTGTTTGTGTCTTAGATTGCATATAAGATCCTTCCTTCTGTGTTTGAAAGTTAAGACATTTCCAGGTGCAGATCCTAATTTTTCTAAATTTAGTTTGGAATACAGTAAGCAAACTCAGCCTCCAAACCAATCTTCAAACTTTTTTTATTATTATTATTGTTGTGCTGTGGGTACATTGTGACATTTACAAAAATTCTTACAATATATCATACTTGAATTCACCTCCTCCATCAGTATCCTTTATCTCCCCTTCCCCTATTCCTGTAATAGTCTCAACAGGTCTCATTTTTCCATTTGCATATGTTAATACATAATGTTACTACCATATTCACCTTCCTACACCCTATCCTCCCTCCCATTGGTACCAACCCCCCAGGCAGGACCTGCTCTGCCCTCCTGTTCTCTGTTTTTGCAAAAAACAGCCAATCTTTAAACTTTAAAGAAATGGCAACTTTTCTCTTATGGCAGCTCAATTGTTATTCTGAATAAACTCACTTCCTGCTTAAGTTGACATGTAGTTTTGGCAAAGAAACATGTACCAGATATTAAAAAGAAGAGAAAGTTTGCACAGACATAAAAGGAAAAAGGAAATTTTGGTTACAGACACATCTAACTATCAGATAAATCATGCTGTATCTGCTAACAGCAGTAACACTGATGGCTGACTTTATCAAACACTGATTTACTGGGAGAAGGCAGGAAATTTACCTTCAGAGGCAACACCTCCCTGTTGATGCCATAAAATATTGCCATAGCAAGTGTCCAAGACAATAGACCAGCCACATTCCCACAGACTTTTTTGGCACTTTCAAAAGTGTAATCATCCATATTAAAATATGGCTGGAGTAACTCAACAGTCTCTTCATTTATAGTGTCCTTGGGGAACTGCTGGAGGCTCCAAAGGAATCCAGTTGCACTCATCAACTGAAAAACAGTTATTATAACTTCTTAGTTCTGAGAGAAAAGAAATGTTTTCTCTCCGAGTTCGTATGGATTTCTAAACTGGATTTTTTCAAAGAAGCAATAGTCAATTTTCTCCAAATGTATCAACCAATACTACTGGCAGTTGTCAACCTAAATCTGTAAATTGCAAATTCTCTTCCGGTTTACATGGCAAAAAAGAAGAAAAATGATGTAATCTTCCTGTTCAGTATGTGTGTCTAAATGCCACTGACCACACAGGCACCTTCTTTTGGAGATTGGGCTGAACTGTCACCATCACTGAGCCAATTTAAGCTACTGGTTGTGGACAGATTTTTTTAAAAAGAAAACTTTCAGATTCAAAATCTATCCCTACCTGCATTTTGAATGATGCAGTAGGATAGTATGGATCTTGAATGTTCCTCAAAAGCCTGTGTGTTATAGGCTTGGTCCCCAAACTTTGGCACTACTGGGAGATGGTGGAACCTTTAAGTGGTGGGACCTAGTGGGAGGAAGTTGGGACATTGGGGATGTGCCCATTGTCAGGACCCTGGCCTCTCCTCCTCTTCTCTCTTCACTTCCTGGCTGCCATGAGGTCAGTAGTTTTCTTCAGTACATGCTCCCACCATGATGGACCACCTTGCCCAAGTCCCAAAGTACTGGGGCAAATGGATCATGGACTGAAACCTCTAAAACTGTTTGCCAAAGTAGACCGTGCCTTCTTATAGGCTGATTATCTCAGGCATTCTGTTACAGTGAATCACACATGCAGTTGTAATATATAATAACTGATTCTGTGTCTGCCAGCTCCCTGGTCTACACTCTGGGTCCTGGTCTCCTGATGCCCCTCCTATGACTTGCAAAGACAGATTTTGCTTACCTTTAGTGACTCGCCCCATGATGGCTTGCAGCAAGGCTTCTCTGGATCCATAGCAACAGGGTCAATTTTCTTTTGAAACAAGAGCAGTACGCAGTCCATGATTCTCATAATAAGATGTGGCGGTTTTGCAAGCTTCCTGACCGTGGCGATATCATTTGGTTTGATAGTCTGTGTTTGAGATTAGAAATCAATATTTTTACTGAGTAGTATTAATAGTCATATGTATAGAAATCTAATGCTCTTAAATAATTGAGGTTCAAAGCTTTAAAACACCTTTTGTCACCTGATATTATCTCCTCAGGGTTTAAACTCCAAGATTTTTGTATACTGGCTCTTGCATTGTTCTCTTCATATTTCTGATTGATTATTCATTTGCTTGCTTTTATTCCTTTTTCCCCAGTTGCCCCAACTAATTGACACAAAATGCATCACTACCATTCATTGCCCTCCACCCCAGACCTCTGGTAACAAGTCCCATTGGTACGTAATATTTAGATAACTCGCATCTTCAAAGCACAGAGTCCACTCTGAGTGTAGATAGTAAAAGAGGAGACAAAACTCTGAATATCAGAAACCTCACCTTCAGTCTGCACTTTGAGGACTGCCTTATCTATGAAAGGGCAGTGGTAGAAAAGGGGTGGTTAGAAGGAAACAATAAGGCTAGTGGAATGGCTCAAGTGGTTGAGTGCCTAGCAAGCATGAGGCTCTGAGTTCAAACTCCAATACCACCACCACCAAAAAAAAAAAAAGAAGGAAACAATAAAAGTTATTATAACACTATGGCTTCTAAAAATATTTTTGAAAGTCTATCTGTGAACCGGGGTCAGATTAAGATGTTGCTGACGTTCAAGGCAAGAAAGTCTGGGAGACCATGTGATCAAAAAAGTCTTCAGATTCATTTGGTTCAGCAATGGCTCTCTCTGCATGCTACCATAGGACCCTTAAAAGGAGTGGGGAATGTGTCCTTGTCATTGAAAACTTAATTAAATGGTTACGATAGACTTATTCATTCATTTAACAACTAAAACCACAAGGCAAGCAAGCAGTCAAACAAAAATACTCTGTGTTCATAATCTTCCAAGGAAGATAGAGAAAACACAACTATTCCAAATTAGGATTTCTGCCATGAGAGAAGGATGGGGTGACAGGAAACAAGAGTCCGAAAGAGCTGGAAGAAGTGAAATCTGAGCCCAGATTTGAAGAATGACTCTTAGTCAGGAATGAAGGACAGGACAAGCATTCCTGGCAGAGGAAGAGGCACATTTAAGGCAATGGATTATGGTTTTTCCAGAAGTCTATAGGCTGGATCATACTGTACATAGGACAGAATGAGAAGAGATTAAGAGACAGACAGAAGCCAGGTTATTAGCAGCAACAGAAGCACTTATATTTGCCAGAACTTTCTGTGTGCCCAGTAAATTGTAGTCATTACTTTGAATGCTTACGTGGCGCCTTCGAGAATCAGTGAGGAATTATAATCCCCATAGACACCTAAGAAAGTTAAGTCAATTTACTCCAAATCATGTATCCAAAGCTCTGTCCTTCATTGTGGGTGTAGTTGCCTATGCCTGTAATTCCAGCTACTACTAGAGAGGCTAAGGAAAGAAGACTGCTTGAGCTCAGCCTTGGGTAACACAGTGAAGGAAGGAAGGAGGAAGAGAGGGGAGGAGGGAGGAAGGAAAGGAAGGAGAGAGAGAAGCAGTGGGGAGGAGCTGTGCCACTCTTGCCTCACACCTGTGGATACCTAGCTTGGAACTTTATCCGAAGCTCAGGTGAACCACAAGGCAATCTTGTAGAGGAACATATGAGGCGCTTTGTGTGATCTGAATCCCTATAGTTTAAGCCGTTATTCACCAGCATTATTTCCCAAGTCTCATGGAAGTTTCATTCATGAGATAAAAAACAATAGGTTATAAGAAGTGAAGAGTTTAAAAAATTATAACTTAGAAAACTGATCAGTGGAAGCACTGTTTCCAGACAAGATCACAAATCATATTAAGAACTCAATCTGGTTTTCTGATCACAGTTTCCCAGGAACACAATGCCTACTACAGGACTTGGGGTTGGGAAGGGCACCAAGGCCCTGCTCACATTCAGGGCGGCTTCTGCTTCTTCCAGCGCAGGCTTTGCGGCCTCAAGTTTGGTCTCAGCCTTTACTTTTTCACTGTCAATTTCATCCACAATTTTTTGGGCTTTGTCTTTTACCTCCTGCACTTCATTTTTCACTTTGGCCGAAGCCTGGGCACTCACTGTGACTTCTGCTAAGACCTGTCAAGTTGAGGCAAGTAGAAAGCTTCAAGCAAATCCGTAGATCTATGTAGAGACTGTTTATTCCCATAGCACAAAGCATGAATGAGAGCCAATTTATTTCCCATCTAAGTCACCTATATTTGAAGATGTATTAAAGTGATTCCTTTGAGCTATTCCTTGCAGTATTCTATTTTCTAAGCTTCCCTTGAGCTTACAATAGATATAAGCAAGTATTTTAAGCTTTCATAAAAATGGTGTTCCTACTTCATGAATTTCTAAATTAAAATCATTCAAGTATAATGGAATAAAGTCAGAAACTATGTTAATAACTATGTAATAACAATAAAAATGGCTAATGTTCGTTAAGTGCTTACCATGTGCTAGGACTGTGCTCCTCTATGGTATCTCATTCATTTCTGTAACTGGCTAAGTAGGTCAAAGGTTAAGCTTCTTTTTTAACTGACTCAGCAGACATTGAAGGTGGCCTGCGTGGTGGCTGTAGACAAAGGAGCAGCACACATATACCCTAACACTAGGGGGAGCTGTTTTTCTTTTTAACTCTACCACCTCTTCCTCTTATCCTTTTCTCTCCTCAACAAAAACTTCCAATGAGACTTGAGTAATCCTAGAAAATTTGAACTTTGAAACTACAACATTAACTGTAACTCACAGTCAAGCAGAAAGTTCATAAACAGATGAGAGAGAAAGAATGAGAGAAGATAAAATAATAGTCTAAGGCCAGGTAGAAGATAAAATAGTTTGGATATGTCTTGGTATAAGTGAATAAAAAATATTTAAAGGTTTTTGTTGGTGGACATTATCTTACCAGAACTAATCTATATGTTTATATCGGGTTTATTTTTAATAACATATAAAAATAATGCTTTTTAATATGTAAAAAATATTCCTTATCAGTAGCAATAGAACAAATGCAAACTCACTTCATCTGCTTTTACAGAAGCCACGGCCAGTTCCTTCTCCTTTACTGCAAGATCTTGAGAGAGCTTAGCAACGGACTCACTTGCCTCCATCAGCTTATCGAGACCTTCACAAACACACACACACACACACACACACACACACACATACACTTGCTGAGTACTTAGTATTTATAAGACAATATAGTACAGCAAACACAAGATAATTAACTATAGACAAAAGCTTTGAAAACATACGTATCTTAGGAACAACAATACTGATTTTATTTCTGAGAGTTCCAACAGGAGCAGGGGGAGAAAATAGATCTGATTAAATAATACACCTATTTGATCCCCAACACCACAAAAATAATAATAATGAAAGAAGCTACATTTAAGGAAAAATCACATGTCATATGGAGTGATATTAATTTAGCCAAGAAACTGATTTGGCCAACTTAGGTTTTCCTTGACTTCATAAGCAGTCTGTACTGTCATTTGGCCTCCACATTGTACGGCAGTTGAAAGGTAAATGAGATAGAAAATGTGTTAACACTTTTGGGTTTTCTTTGCTTTGCTCATGAAGATCACTGCTAAAACCTGAGTTCATGTAGCTTTCAGTACTGTGGAACAAAGTGACCGGTTAACTGCATTTCTCACCTTGCAAGCTGGTTCTAGACAGTGGTGTGTGTGTAAGTGTTTATTGTCTTGGGTTTCTAGGGGAGGGAAACACCCATCTGCATGTTTTCCAATTTGCTGGTAAAATACCCCACCATGCCTGATTTCAAGCTACAAAGACGGTCTCAGTAGCATACCACAGTACAAATAAAACAGAAAAAAATGACCTCAAGACCATTAAGAATAGTAAGATACAGTAAAAGTAAGCTTTGAGTGTTTATTGACTTTTTAAATGTAATTTATCTAATGATAAGTACATATGATTGAATTTCTTTGTGTGTGGTACTGGGGTTTGAACTCAGGGCTTTGCATATGCTAAGCCGGTACTCTGCTATTTAAGCCACTCCTCCAATCCTTTTTGCTCTGGTTATTTTGGAGATAGAGTCTCACTTTTTGTCCAGGCCTGCCTGGACCACAATCCTATTTCACATTTTCCACATAGATGGGATGGTAGATATGCACCACCATGCTCAGCTTTTGTCCATTGAAATGGGGTCTCACTAACTTTTTTGCTTGGGCTGGAGGCAAACTGTAATCCAACCAATCTCAGCCTCCCAAGTCACTAGGATAACAGGTATGAGCCACTGGTGCCTGGTTAATTTTTAATATAGGTTATGTTTAATAACCAGATCATAAAATTCCTGAAATTAGCCAATCAGCTCTCACAAGCCAGTGTGCACCAGTTTCAGCCCACATCGATTCTAGAGCGTCCTAAAGAAAAGCTGTGAGAAGCTGAGTCATGAGAGAAGCCACAGAGCTTTCTTTCCCGATACTCCTATCGCCACCATAACTTCACCAAACATGGGGCTTGGTTACCCTATGTGACCAAGTTTTGTTTAAGAGAAATGAAAGAAAAGAGCAAAGGTGCTTTGGACTGTTGTGAGCCACGTGCCTTCTGGACATGCAGTGTGCTCCAATGTATACTTTTCCTACTTATGCTGCAAATTTTTGGAATACGCAGAAAACCATTGCTCAGGTAAACTGCCTCTTCGGGGTTTTGTTTTGGCTTCTGTTACTGTTTTGCCTTTTCCTTCTTTAGAAATTTAGGAGTCGTTAAACATGGTAAAGTTTATGCAAATCATATTGAAACCAAAAACTGAAATTGTCAGTTCCCAAGAGCAGACGTTCCCCCATCCACACACAGGGCTAAGGAACTGTGGTGCCTCATGCCCAACACTGAGGACCTGGAGCTGAAAGAGCTATGGCCATGGTTCTAGAGAGAAAACAGGCCACCGCTGATGACATTTTCTTCTGCCCAGAGTTTCTTGACAAGTCAGAAGGCCATTAAGAGCATTCTTAAACTATACACCAGTAATGGTCAAGTATTTTTCTTTCAAATACAGAAATATCCACCCAACAAAATGGTGCGATCACCACCAAACAAACCCTAAAAAAAGACAAGATTCCATTCCTCTTACCAATATTCATACGTTCAGCTTGTTCATTGATATATTTCACCTTTTCGCTATAAATGTTTTTGTAACCATTTATAAATGAGAGGTAGGACTTGGGAGTCACATGCGCTCTTCGACGGTATCTGAAAATAAAACACAAAAATGGCCACTTCTGTCATCCTGGTGTGCTGCCACACACTGTCACTACAGATACTCCCACTGTGAAATCAGAGTAATTCCCCAGAGCGATACCCTACAGGAGGCAGCAACTGTACAAGGCTTCCCAGGAATTACATCTTTAACCCAGAGGGGTCCTGGACTTGACCCCTGTCCTTACTCTGAACATCTGTTTTCACATGTAGACACCTGAGAGAAGAATGTGTGCCCTGTCCCTCCCCTTCCAGAATTTTTTGAAAGATCAAATAAAATAGGACATGTGAATAAACCTTGTCAGCTGGACAAATATTAGGTTTAGGTGGTTGAAATGAATTTGTGCTGTAATCTTTTCCACTTATCTGTTTTTTGTGACATACCTCTTCACTGCCTATCCAAGTTGGGTGGGTTTACAAAAGCAAAGGCCAGGCCAGGCACAGTGGTGCCTATAATCCTAGCTACTTAGGAGGCAGAGATCAGGAAGATTGCAGTTCAAGGCCAGTGACGGCAAAAAGTTCTTAAGATCCCATCTCAATCAATAAAAAAGCTGGGTGTGGTGGTGCGCACCTGTCATCCCAGCTACACAAGAAGCATAAACAGGAGAATCTTGATCAGCCAGCCCCACAGCATAAACACATCACCTATTTGAAAAATAACTAAAGCAAAAGGGCTGGGGCGTAGTTCAAGTGGCAGAGCACTTGGCTAACAAGTACAATGGTCTGAGTTTCAACCCAACACTTCCAAAAAATAAAGCAAAGCTCAATCTCTCCCTGATTCATTGAATTGGCCTTGAATCAATCAGCCACATTTGATTCAAGTGTTCAATCATCATGGGCTTTATGACAGTAATTATATTTAACAATAGAAATAAAGTAATTATGTTTAACAACAGAAATAAACCAGGTAATTTTATATAGAAGAAACTCTAGTCAAAGAAAAGTTTCTCACATATTATAAAGGGTTTTTTTGTATCAATTGTTCATCTTTGGAGTTCCAAAAAGTTTTAACATTTTAAGTTTTTTTTTTATCTTTGACAACTTAGAAATATATATAACTATCACTAAAGTGTTATTTAAGCCAGGCACCACTGGCTCATGCCTGTAAATCTAGCTACCTGTGAGGCAGATATCGGAGGAGCAAGGTTCCAGGACAACCCAGGCAAGAAAAAGTTCCCGAGACCCCATCTCAATGGAAAAAAGCTGGGGATAGTGACATGCACCTGTCACCCTGTGATGGCAGGAAGCATCTGTAGGAGTATCACAGTCCAGGCCAGCCAGAGTAAAAAGAGACGCTATCTCCAAAACAGCCAGCTCATAAAGGGCTAAAGGCCTGGTTCAAGTGGTAGAGTGCCTGCCTAGCAAGTGTGTTGCCCTGAGTTCAAACCCTAGTACCACCCTTCCAAAAATGTGTTATATCAAACATTCAGAATAAGCTTCTATAATCTATAAGAATATGAAAATTTGAAAAATATACCAAAATGTTTTTTAATTCTTAATTTTTTTTAAATAAATAAGTTTTTATAGCTGTTTTCCCAAATGATGGAAGCAGGAAGAGTTCCAGTTAAGCAGAAAGAAAAGACTCCTAACAGTGAGGATTCATATACACTGACTCTCCAGGAGAACATGAGCGATATCTAGAATGATTCAAGAAGGTGGTCTCAATGTGTCTTAATACAGCGACCTAGCAAGCTTTTGGGGAAGAAAAAGAAAAAAAAAAAACCCCTGTACTTCTGAAGTGTTGATCCCTACTTTCACAGAGCAAGCACACCATTGCCACTCTTGGTGATTGATTCTCCTAAAGCCAATTAAAATTCTGTTTCATAACCATTTGGCATAAAGTCATTGATAAGACTAAGTCATGCGAATACAAAACCTAAATGCTCCCTTAACATAAGGCAATAAAGAAACTTTAAAACAGTGTACTTCTTTATCCAAATAAATAATGCATCGGAACCAGAAACTGATTTTAAGCAGTTTATAATGAATGAGTTAAGTCATTTTCAAAACAAAATTAAGCAACAAAAACAGAGCGGTTCATTAAGCATCTGTTACTTGGGAGCCTGCAGGGTAAAGAGGTATTTAAGTGTGGACACGAGTTAATTTTTAAATCTCATTTATTTGCCATCTTTCAGTACTAGCAAATCAATGCAAGAAAAATCGAGACCCAGCTGGGACTTGGTGCTCAATCACTATGAAGAGCCTTACACTGGGTGTTACACTTAATTCCTCTTTGGAGGGAACATTGTGGTTCCAGTAGCTCTGCAGCTTATGAAAATATCACGTACCTTTGGAAATAATTTTCACAGCTCTCGGAAACCATGTCATGAAAGAGGCCCATTGTTTCCACAACGTGTCTTTTAATTTCACTAGAGCAGACGATATTATAGTCTGAAAGGAAATAGGAGGCCACAGCTACCAGAGCCTCCTTGGGCCAGCGACTGAACCAGTCCATGGTGCAACCTGATATCAGGCCGGGGAATTTCAAAGAACGGGCTCGGAACTTCTCACCAACCTGTTGACAGCAAAATCAAAAAGCATTAGCAGCACCGAGAAAGGACCATTCAGCCGGAGAGGGACTGATGCATTCTGAGCCAATGTCACAAATTTTAAAACAAACCTTTGGCTTCCGTAGTATCTAAATGAAGGGAGGGGATGTGTTCATTCCACTCCCCGCTTCCTGAGACAATGTGTCCACTGTGAGTTTAGAGTGTAGGAGGAAAACGACAAAGGAGAACTTATTTTGGAGAGAGAGGACCAGGACAGGGGAAAGGTGCAAACAGCTGAAGAATGGGGTGTTTGCCCTAAGAAGGAAACAACTTAGGGCACCTAAAAGCTCTTCAAATATACAGAAAGCTTTATGTGGGAGAGCGATCAGGTTCCTCATGCAGTGTAGAATCAGAAGAGAAAAGTGCAGAGATTCAACTGATTATAAAGAAGAGCTCTGACAACCAGACAATGTAAAAATGAAGCAGGCTTGCCCTGCAAGCCAGTGAGACCCCTGGGACGGAGCAGCACTGTCCAGTAAGGATGGACATGTCCTATGTTAGGGGCTTTCGGGTGTGACAGCCACTACCCTCCACGTGGCAATGGGGCTGATGGGTTGCAGAAATTCAATTTTTATTTTTATGTAATTTAGGCTGGCATAGTGGCTCTTAAGAGGGCCTGCCTACCAAGCGTGAGGCCCTGAGTTCAAATCCCAGTACTGCCAAAAAAGAAAATAAAAAAGGGGCTATATTTTTATGTAACTTTAACTAATCCAAATTTAAATTAGTTGCAATGGCTAATGGCTACCGAACTGGACTGCACAGTGAGATAGACACATGCAAACTTACATCAGGGATATCCTAGACGGGACGTCAATGTTAGAGGTATAGGGGATGGGATTACACCACCAAATTCCTTACAATTCAAACAACATTGTCTTTAAGTAATGCATGAAAATTGTTCACAATGCAATCATTTCTAATAATAGGAATATTTTAAGTTATCACACTGGCAATGAGATTTTGGTCAATGGAGACTGGTGGTAGGGAAGGATTAATTTTAGTTCAAAGAAATAAAGATTAATTTCTGAACAAATATCTCATCACAGAAGGCAAAGGATGTTAGCATATTTAAATCAGTAGCCCCTCCTATGTAGATTAAAAGCCAAGACTCACTGGAGAAAAGCAGAGAACAACATGCAAGTTCCTCCTGGACCTGGAGATGAAGTACTCGTACAGGTTGTCAAAGGTGGGGGGGTGGCGCGGCAGCTCCCGCTTCATCACCGATATCAGGCCTTGGGTGATTTCATCCATCTCATCTCGTGCAAACAAATTGGAGATCTTTAAGGAACAGTCAAGAAAGTGTCCTATGTTTTAAGAGTTCTCCACAGTGAATTTGCTATCCAAGCCTGGTCCTTTCCATCCCCCCAACTATGTCATCTTGTTTTATGTTCTCTTTCTGCCTCTCGACAGCCAAATGCCTGTTTGCCAAAGATTACCAAGCATGCAACTCTTTATTGAGCAGCTTAATCAACAGCAAATTATGTTTCTCTGCGTTTTAATATCTCCCACCGAAGACTATCTCCTCCACCACTTCCATCTACCCTTTAAAATGTTTGGGGATTCAGCAGTTTCTCAACTCCGGCTCCAACATGCAGCTTTTGCCACAATGAGCTTATGTACCATTAAGCCTTGAGGTCACCACATGCAGGGCAGAGTTAATCAGGCAGGCCTCAACTGAAAAGGCTATCCTTGTGGGGCTGGCTCTTGACTGGCATCTGGGAATGAGGCTTTGCGAGTGCCTTCCTTCTTTGCTAACTGATAAGGTTGTTCCACTGCCACACCTAAACGCCGTGGTACATGATAAACCCTGCTTTCCTTCTGTGAGCCTGGAACTTGCTAGGCAGGGAGTGGCCAGCTTCAAATATAACCATTGGACCCTGAGTCCCAAACAGGCTTCCCTGAGCAGAAACACAGTGTACATGTCAACTGCATGTCATATGGAGGGCTGCATGGCCCCTTGGTGAGAGCACAGGACACCAGCACACAGATTCCTCCAGACTCCTCGTGATAAGGCTTTTTTGTTGCTCCAGCCATGCGACCCTACTGTGATGCTGTAATAAATCTTAGCCATGAGTCCAACTAAATCTCATTTCTCAGATCAAGAATGTGTGCGAAATGGCCTAACCTCTGGAGGGTGGTTGTTTTTCCTGTAGGAATATAATCCCCATTTTTATCATGTAAGTTTCTCCCTCCATTTGAGACCTACCTCCCCTGAAGATAGCAAGTTGTTGAGGTATTCCAGAAATGCCTCATCTTTGATCTCATTGTCAGTAAAGATGAAAGTGATACCTTTCCCATCAGCTCCAGCAACTTTGTACAGAGATTTTAAGTCTTCTATGAGGTTAGTCACATTGTAAGACCTAAAAGGGGAGTGGGGGAAATTTTAAGTTTCCTATAAATTTAATAGGAATTAGATTTTTAAATAAAAATTTTAAATGTACATAGTCACCATTTATCTCAAAACACAGTAACAACGCATGATAATTAAACCATAATCTGTACCAGCTCCAACAGATATTATGTAACAGTACATGCCAGAAAACACAGGGGTTACAGCTAAGGAGCTAAGTGTTGCCATTCAAAACAAATGTGTTGTATTTATCCTGAGAAGTGGGGAATTTACCAGAAATGATCCTCAAGGAGTAATGGGAACAGGAAAATAAACATTTAACCCCTGCAATTAGTCCTCCACAACAGGTTTTGCTCAAGCAAATATATGTCTATTATCTAAAACTAATCTGAAATTTGCATTAGTTTGATTTGGGGGAAAAAGTCCCAATTAATTATAAATAAAATTAGCAATAAATTATCTATAGTAGTCATTTATACAGCTAAGTGGTTAGATTTAGAGAAACAGATACATTATGCAGTTTGGAACAAGTGACAGAAATATTGTAATTAGGTGGTTACAGAATGTGTTTTTCTGCTCACTCTGGTTCCTGTAGATGTGCGTGCTACACATGGTGGCCGTGAGTTGTAAAAATAGAGCAGACATTTTCTGCAGTGTTGTATGTAAATATTCATTGATGATAAGCATAATAAAGAGACCTCATTTGAAGGAGGTATCACAGTGCAAGCAATATAGAGCTGAGTGTAAACCATGAAGTCTAACAGACAAACTTGGAACCTGAAAGACCTGGATTCAAATCCATGCTCTGCAGCTTTAGAAAAGTTCCCTCACATTGCTCAACTTGGGTTTCATCATCTACAAAATGAAGATAATTCTTATCTGTAAAGGTTGTTGTGGGCAGAGAAGTGATACAGTGTAAGGGAACTTATTTTATACTAGGTATTAAAGCAGGAGCACCAGCTTCCACCTTCTGGATGCACTGTAATAAAAGTCTCACTGTGACCCTGTGGGAGGAACACGGCCCATGTCCTTCCAGCAGAGGGACTGTGGCCTGATGCAGTTAGAGTGAGTCTCTCACTGATTGGCGGGTCTTAGGACCCATCAGCCAATGAAGTCACATAACCATTTTGGCTGATTTTTAGACTATCATGCACCAACCTTTAGTATGTAGACACTGTCACAACACACCCTCTACTAGGTCCTGACCTCTCTTCATAGGTCCTGGGAAGTTTTCTAGACAACTCTCTGCTGCTTCACTCTCTAATGCCACATGGCTTCTGCAGCCATCCTCTCCACTCACATGGACTGTGTTAACCGACTCCATTAACATGAGACATTGACTGCTAGTTACCACGTCTCATATCTTAAGCAGCATTTTCAGGTTAATTCTTTGCCTGCTTGGTTTCTGGAAAACACTCTGGATTTCCCCCTTTCTGTCTTGCTTCTCCTTCCCACTCTCCATCGCAAACCCCCTTCCTCTCTGTTGGGAAACTCCAGAGTTCTTTCCTGGACCATCTTTCCTTTCACTGTGCACCCATTCATACTCCACAGGACCCCAGCAAGGGTCTCTCTACTGAGACTTCTATATCGGTCTCTGCAGAGCCTCAGCTGAACTCCTCACTCCCAAGTTTTTGGAAACATCTCACACCCACCATGTAACTGACTGGAATTCTCATTCAATGAATCTTACAGTTGCCATTTATTTACTTGTTCAACATATATTTCTGTAGTGTTGGTAAGAGCGACCATTTGGTAATCATGGTGGCCAAGATGAAGGTTACAATGCCCATCCATGGGGAGCTCACAGCCCATGAAGCAAATGGAAATGTGAACAAGTGTTTTTTAAAAATACAATGTGAAGAGTACTGCTAAAAAAATTAACATGCCACCCTAGGCTTTTCCTTCTTTCCTCTTCCTCCCCCATATCCTGTCCAG